TCAGGAAAATGAGTACAGCCATTTTTGTACTTCTGGGGACTTCCATAAATTTCTGGGGAATTCCATTTTTGTACCAGCAACATTTCTGGGGCTTCCCGTAAATTCGAGGTGCCAGTTTTTTTTTCATCCGCTGGGATGAAATCAAGAGGAGTTCACAACCCAAACTTGAGGCTGTTTCATTTTTGCTGCAGCAACCCCCAAGAAACCGTGATTCTATGATGTGACTTCGATGATACGAATCATATCTTCAGGCTTTACCAGGTGGTCATTCCTCCTATAGTAGATAAACCAAGGGTCTGATTAAAGCAAATAAACATATCAGGTGGTAATCTATACCAAAATTGTTTCAGGATTACATTTACAAGCACCAACATTGGTAAAGGATTTGCCAACATTATAGTGGTGATTACATTAAAAATTGAATCTCATCATAATTGACCAACCTGACTGAAATGTTAGGCCAATTTGGGATAGTTATCCCAATCCTAACCAACAAGGTTTTACTCCCCAGTTGTAAGTTGGTTTACAATATTATATAATTAGCTCGATACAACCCCCATACCCAACAGTTATCGGACTTATATATACCCTTTGGTTATTTAATGTAGCAGAACCGGAAATCACAATTATTACTAGGTAAGTCATCATTTTTCTCTATTCCTATGGGCCTTTGGCTTCCATAGCTATGAATCAAACAACAAGAGGGTAATATCAACATCTAAAAAACAGTGATCAAATATCTCCGAAGATTGAAACTTGTAGTTATTGTAGTTATAGTTTTGTTATACTTATAATATGTTATAATTCCCATTAAGTATAGATATGATATAAGGCAAACAAGTATTAAATAGTTTTAAGTTACAATTCTCATATAGATATCTATAGATATCTATAGATATAAGCCAAAAAAAAACACCGAGTTCTTCGATCTTTGGGCACCAACCTGGTTGCCCTGCCTGATGCTGTTGGTAGCGGGCCACCTGCCATGGTGGGCAACCCTGCCATAAAGAACTACCATGACTGGGGATGGTTGGATTTCTGCAGCCATTCATAAAAATGGTGATGACTTGGGGATGGTTTATTGATATTTATTGGGTGTACCACATGAGTCTATTAATTCTATGATTGATTCAAGCGGTGTAACTGGTATTTGGAAGCCATTTTCTTCAAGCGCTGCGGAAAGTCCATGTGTTTCACAACTCTGAGGTGAACAAAAAGAAGACACAGAGAGAAAATGGGTTCCCTTTCATCGCCGGCTTCTGGGTCAAGATTTGAACCCCAATTTTGGGCAACCACGTTTGGATTATATAGTTTGGGCACCCCCAATTTGAAGAAACCTTCATTTGAACCCACAAAAATGGGTTTGTCTGAAAATAGCTTAGGGTACCCCATTCCATCCACTGGTTAATCATAAGTGGGCTGTACACAAACCATGTTCAGACAAACCCAAATTGACAACGCGTATGGATCGCCAACAATGTTATATATCTTGGCTACAAAATGACGAAAAAAAAACACTGTGTACATACCTACATACCGAAGTTATACATGGTTAGCTTTGTTACATACCCGTGTTGCTCAAAATCCAGCAACAAAAACTATGGCTGGCACCAACTCAGGACCCAACCCCCCAGGGCCAGGACATAGGGGGTGTCCTCAATAAATCATTAAATCGTAGTGATAATCAAAAAATATATCACTGCATTATCAATGGATTGGTTTAGGGGAAAATTTACAGGAAAACCCAATATTTAATGGTAAAAAACCATGGTTTCCTGTAAATTTTCCCTTAAACCAATCCAATGACATTAGTATTATGACTAGTATCTCAGTATATCTTAGTATTATGACATAATTTATGTCACTGAATGGAAACTTAAAGCCATAAAATCACTCACAGATGAATCATGGTTTTCTTTTTTTGGGGGTTGACTGCCCATATCTGGTGGGTCAACTGCCCATCAACATGAACAATCTGATTGGGAACAAGTATGGACAGTCCAAACTTAATGTTTTTAAAATTATGCACACTTGTAGCATTAACTAACTCTTAGGACTATGGATTTTCATAGCCACCCATCGCGATCACCACTTCGCCAGGCCGAACTTGAGCCTTGGCAGCCCACTGCTCATCCGGGGCGCGGGGCTCCTGGATGTCATGAATTGGGTTGGTTGAGAATAGGATATCTGCAATATCCCAAAATCCCAGGGTCTTTTTTTGCATAGCATGTGAATAATTCATAAATATTCATAGTCATCTGGTTGGTGGTATACCTACCCTCTGAAAAATATGAGTCAATTGGGAAGGATGACATCCCATATATGGAAAGTCATAAAAGCCATGTTCCAAACCACCAACCAGTCATAGTGTTTCCCATCTTTCCAGGTGATTCTGACTTCGCTCTGTCTCCCATTTTCGGACCAAACATGACCATCTGAGTATGCCTTTGTGAGGCCTCGCAGCAGTGATATGAACACTCAAGGATCCTCTGCAGATTAACGAATTTTCGGGTTTCCTGAAATAGGGGTACCCCTAAATCATCCATTTTGATAGGTTTTTCTATTATAAACCATCCATTGTTGGGGTACCCCTATTTTAGGAAACCCCCTAATATGTGCTTGTCAATTTTGTTTATCATCCAGATTCAGGAAACGGAACCCCTAAAACCTGGTGGCACTGTTGGCTCATTACGCCCAAGGACACCTTTGGCCAATTAGGACGTGGAAAATCCATTACCATCCACCACGTTTCGATAGTTTTCGCTTCCAGCTTAGTTTGCCCATAGCGGCTAATCTGGACACCAACATTCCCGGAGAATCAGCAGCTTGTACCGCTTAAATTGCAGATTTCGAGTTTCGAAATTGCGAATTTTCCCAGTTGCAAAGGATTGACATGGAAAAATCATCAAAAATCGCCAGGAAACTCTGGTTTTTTTTTTACTTTCAAAGATATCGGGGTTTTCCTGCAGATGTTCCATCCCCCAGCATGGCCTGGCGATCGGTTTGTGCGGAGGCCACATGGTGTACCGCCTGCCGGCCGGTCATCCCACGAAACCGAACAGAGGAAGGACATACCCGGCCTGGTCAACGTTTACAAAAACCGAACTGGAAAGATCCACCATGCTAATCATGGGTAAATCCATGATAAATCAATGGCCATGTTCAATATTTTCCAGTTCGCAAACTGTTGACATAACCAAAGGGTATCATTCAACTCACCTGGGGAAACCACTTCCCACTTCCCAGCATGGAAAGATCCCAGCATCCCCAGCATCCCCAGCATCCCATGGCTGGATAGATTGATATGGCCCCAATCATCGCTGCAGTTCTACCCGATATGTCACAACTGGATGTCTCTGAAACTGGGAACACGAACATTTCACTTCTGAAGAGCATCATGTTTATTCATGTTTATTCATGGTTATTCATGTTTATTCATGTTTATTCATGGTTATTCATTGTTATTCATGTTTATTCATGGTTATTCATGGTTATTCATGGTTATTCATGTTTATTCATGGTTATTCATGTTTATTCATGTGAGCCATGAAAAATACCATCCCATCTCATTCTACTAGTTGGTTGAAAACGGTTTCCCAATCCTATGGCTTATCATAATCCCCGACCAGGTAGTTGTTTATCCCCTATTGCAAACAATTCACCAGGGTATGTTTATTCCAATTATTAACCATTATTAACCATTCCTGGTTGGTGGTTGACCTACCCCTCTGAAAAATATGAAAGTCAGTTGGGATGATTATTCCCAAGATATGTGAAAATAAAAGCCATGTTCCAAACCACCAACCACTTAACCATTATTAACCATTATTAACCATTATTAACCATTATTAACCATTATTAACCATTATTAACCACTTTTAACCATTATTAACCATTATTAACCATTATTAACCATTATTAACCATTATTAACCATTAATTAACCATAGATTGTTTCATGTAACCATAGATTGTTTAAATTAACCATAGATTGACCAGTCATGGGTATGTTTCAAGCGGCTCATTCAACGCCACAAAAAATGCCTCGCCTCCAAAGACCTCTGCCGCTGCGTCGCGGGCGAAGGCACACGATCGATACGAGCCTGGAGCTGGGACAAGCATTGTGTTGTTTTTGGGATAACTGTGGATATGATAACTATCAATTATGGATATAACCATGATATATATATATATATACGTATATGTATGTATGTAATGTAATGTAATGTAATGTAATGTAATGTAATGTAATGTAGTGTAGTGTAGTGTAATGTAATGTAATGTAATGTAATGTAATGTATGTATATAACTATGATAACTATGATAACTATGATAACTATGATAACTATGATAACTATGGATATAACTACGATATTATAGGATAACTATGGATAGAACTATGATAACAGTGACTGTTATCATAGTGGGATAATGTATATACTATGATAACTCATGGATATACTATGATAACTAATGGATATAACTTGATATAACAATGATAACTCTTAAATGTACAATTGTCCATTATAAGCGGGAATACTGATGAATACTATACATGGATATACATTATCTTGAACCTATAACTATATACCAAAATTGACGAACAGTCAGATTTTTTTGTTTTAAACTCATGTTCTTTTCCGACTTTTTTGTTGCTGAGACTTCCCATGTTTTCGTGGATCTTGTGCACGATTCGGATCACCACCTTTGAGCCCACAGATGATGCTGAAGTCAACTCCTTCTGTTTGATCGATCTTCTACCGGAGACCTTCTAGTGCGGCCGATCTTAAATACCATTGTTTGTTTCTTGATTCATGGCACCATGTACTCACCATCACAATGGCGTGGCAATGAGATCGCAGCAAACTTACCGTGAATATGAACCAGTTGCATTTATTATATGGAGTCTTTCCTAAGTCATGCTGGTACACACAAATCACCTACAGTAAGTCATTAGAATTAGGCCATGACTTATTATTGAAACAACCATGGTGACTTAGAGATCTACAATTTTAGGAAATCCCATGAAATCCCAATATATCCCCTAAAAAACCAGGTTCGCCAAGTTGTTTTATAATTTAGCTAGTTGGTTAAATCCCATCAGTGCCTTATAACCCCAGGGCAGTGAACTATTGGCTTGGCCACTGAACCTAATATGGAGTCTTTCCTAAGTTATAGGGGTAGCCCTAAATCATCCACGATATTTGGGGGATTGTCCAGTCTTATACCCTCTGGTAAACGTTTACAAAAACCGAACTGGAAAGATCCACCATGCTATTATATCATGGGAAAATCCATGATAAATCAATGGCCATGTTCAATATTTTCCAGTTCGCAAACTGTTGACATCACCAGAGGGTATCATCCAACTCACCTGGGCTTTCCCCACTTCCCACTTCGGGCATCTTTTTGGATCACATGGATACAGCATGCCCCAATGCCCCAATCATCCCGCTGCAAGTCTCCACCTGCAGCTCTCCCTCACTGGCCACCATGGCGGCGGCGGAAACGAGGCCCTCCTCCGAGGCCTCGGTTTCACCGTGGCTTCCCACGACGAGCCACGGACGACCAGGTGTGTAAACGTTGCTTACCCGGCCTGGTTTCTACGGTTACAAAAAGCGAACTGGAAAGATCCAGCAGGCTATTTTTAATGGGAAAACTCACGAAATTTCTATGGGCCATGTTCAATAGCTATAAAAAAAAATTACCAGAGGCTATCCGACTAGTTTGATATAACCCAGCTAACCAAAGCCTTAAAAAACTCGTGGGCGTAAAAACCAACTTAGCTATCAGGCATCTCCAATCGTAGTTTTTGGTAAATCATGGGGCCTTCATCCAATCATTTCGTGGCCAATTCGTGGCTCCCATGCCCGGAGATATCCATAGTTCGATCTTCGATATGAAAAACTGGATTCATTGGGCTGATTCTTACCCACAACGATGCCCTGGAACATCTAAAAAGTCCCAAGACATGTTTTGGCACTTGAAATCGATGGGAAGGTGTAGAAATCATGACTTGGGCAAAATGGTGTTTCTAATGCTACATGTGGTTTCACCATAAAAAGTTGCTTACAATACTCAACATATTGCCTAGTTTCGGTATTATGACGATTAACCAGTGGATCTTGTTGTGCCCTTTCTTGGACAACATGTTCGCAACACAAAAAGTGCACCTACAGAATTCAAACACCAAACACCACATCGTGTTTTGCCCCACGAAACGCATGGCTTTTTGTGGTTTTATGATGTTTATGGTTGGTGATGGGACGCCATGTTGGCCCAGAAAAACCGTTGGGAGCTTAAGCCAAGCGACCGGATCATGGAGGATTGGGATCCCATGGGGCCCACTATGCCATAGTCATGGGATACTCAAAACCATGGTATTAGCCAAGTAGATAATAATATAGAATAATATAGATAAATACTACATGAATGTATACTCATATAGTATCATTAATATTAATTATTATTAATTAATACCGAAAAGATCATCTATCATCTAAAAATCACTCACGCTTTGGTCGTCTTTGCCAGGTACAAAGATTCATCCTTCCGGTGAGGTCATGGTGTTTTTTATGGCTTGGATTTTAGGAAAACCACCTATATAGGAGCGCAGTGAATGTATTCTGGCGTATATTTTCTTATCTTGTGTTTCACTGCTGGAAGATGAAGACTCCTAAGATTGGGAAGCTGCCGGCTCCTCTGTGAAGTCAGGTAAAATGGATGCGTTTGGCTTGTCAGCAGATTTGGACCTCCAAAGGCCTCTGCGCCAGGCCCGTGGCACTTCGCCGCCAGCTCAAGCTCAGGGTGTCGATCTCTTCGCGGGTTCTGATTGTCTCAATCTTGGGCCGCTGTGTTTTGACCAGAATGGAATGTATGTATATATATATATATATGTATGTATATATCCATATATATGTATGTATATATCCATATATATATATATCCATATGTCTATAATATATATATATAATGCTTCTATCTTCAACAACAATGTGAAAACAGGCCTCGCTACACAAGGCCCTCCTCTATCGCTACAGTACACACTGTAAATCACACATTTTGAGAAGTGATGGTGGCTTCTCCTTTAAGCCCTTCATAGATCTTCATAGCATCTTTTGATTCTTGCATCCTCTATATGTGCCATGGTCATCCATGGTGAAGATATGTGAAGATACATGAGATTTATAGGCCATTCGTCCATTCCACCATCAGCAAATTCCTGAGTAGACCATCCCGGACCCCAGCCTGGCCCTGTCTGACAGCCTGGCCCTTTTTGTGAACTAAATTCTTGGTGAAGGCCTTGAAAAACCAATTGTATTAACATCTGGTTATTTAACATAGCCATGGAAAATCCCTTATAAATGGAGGTTTCTAGCTGGGAAAATCATCTATAAATGGGCCATCTATACGATGGCTATGTTAAATAACCAGAGGGTAACATTATTAACCCATTGTTTCATAAATATTTTGGCACTTTGAATTCCTGTGGCGACACTTCAACTAACCGTAGCTTAAAAACTGCAGCACGCCATCTGGGGCATCTTGGGCGAGCTCACCTTGGTTGGCACCCTTGGATTGCGCTTCACGGTGCGAGCCACGTGAGACACCACCGTGGCTTTTCCTGGACTTCACCAGCGACAAGAAACATGTGATAGCTAAAAATTCTTGGGATTGATTAAGCAGCAAACACGGAGATTGAACGGAAAAACACCTTTTTTTGGTTGAAGAAGTGAGGATTATTTTCAAATTATGATCTACTAATTCTAGATAATCCTCATTTATTGTAGATAATTAACATAGATAATCCAAGATTATTTAAATGATGATCTACTATATTATCTTCCCATTTTTTATTGTAGATCTTTGACTCATTTGACCGTCGCGTCGAAAACAGTGGATTGAACCGGTCCAAAAACACGGCCAGGAAAAGATCAGCTTTGAAACCAATGGGTTCCCCCAACAGGGGGGGTGCCCCAAAGCATGGGGGGATTGAACTCATTTAACCATGAAAAATATCGGGATGTCCATTTAACCATGGAAGTGTCTCCATCATGGTCTTGACTTTGATCGGCCAGTGATGTCATAAAATCAGAGAAAAAAAACATGCCATGCACTACATCAGCTGGGGCTGGATCGAAATTATCATCCCGCAAAATGGAAGTTGTGATATACACAAATTCACATAATACGAACAACATCTAATCTTTTGCTGGTGATTTTCATTGTTGTTTGCTGGTAGAACCACCAGTTCTCTTGGCCTTAGGTCCCAACTGTTCAATCAGTGAAAAATCTACGAATCTTTGTTGAGCAACAATTCCCTATAGTGAAATCCCACGATTTTTCATGGTTAAATCTATATTCATGGTGAAATCCCACGAATCTATATTCATGGTGAAATCCAACGATTTTTCATGGTTAAATCTATATTCATGGTGAAATCCCACGATTTTTCATGGTTAAATCTATATTCATGGTGAAATCCCACGATTTTTCATGGTTAAATCTATATTCATGGTGAAATCCCACGATTTTTCATGGTTAAATCTATATTCATGGTGAAATCCCAGGATTTTTCATGGTTAAATCTATATTCATGGTGAAATCCCACGATTGTTCATGGTTAAATCTATATTCATGGTGAAATCCCACGATTTTTCATGGTAAAATCTATATTCATGGTGAAATCCCACGATGTTTCATGGTTAAATCTATATTCATGGTGAAATCCCACGATTTCTCATGGTTAAATCTATATTCATGGTGAAATCCCACGATTTTTCATGGTAAAATCTATATTCATGGTGAAATCCCACGATTTTTCAATGGTGAAATCCCACGATTTTTCATGGTTAAATCTATATTCATGGTGAAATCCCACGATGTTTCATGGTTAAATCTATATTAATTACGTATATATATATATATATACATTGTTACATACAGAAAATCCTAATGGCTCATGTAAAAAATAGGTGAATTTAACCATTGAAAAGGGGAAACTATGGGAAACTAGCAAAATAAGATTAAATAATAACAATCTTGTTCGAACTCATAATAGCAAAATGACAATATGTTTTTGCTTCAAGTTTTTTTGTTTGTTTTTGAAATGTTCTTAATACCAGAAAATGTCGGTTGTTTTACCTTTCTTTTAATGGACATGGAGCAAAGGCAACTTTTCAGTTTTGTGGTCATGACAATGTCAGTTGGGATGATTATTCCCAATATGGAAAAATGGAAAATGTTCCAAACCACCAATCAGATGTCTGATGCTTTCGGATGTTTTCAGTGAACCCCCTGTTGTCGCTAATTGACCCTGGCCACCACTATCGCACAATGCACCTAAATAGATCGTGCGCGCGTCCCAACATTGGCAAACATTGGGCCGTTATGAGGCTCCACATGAGGGGGGGCGAAATTGGGTAGCCCTTAAGCACAACAATAGCATGAAAAAACTATGACAGTAGGATATGCCCCATGGTTCAAATGAAAGCCTCCCCTTATCTCCGATTTACGCGAGCTTTCATGGGTCAAAATCGCTCGAACCAGCAGCTGATTGATTCTTTTTCTCTCATCCGTTCATTCCCAGCGCATCCATGATTTTGCCTCTCTTGTCAAGATGTATTTTCACCTCATCCACTTTTGGAAACTCTTCTTCTGGCACTGGAAGATGCAAGAAATGCGTCAAAGGGGCCCAACCATCGGACCAGTTGTAGACCAACAACTTCTGCGGCGGAATGACTTGCTGCACACGCTCAATGTGTCTCTCATAGTTTTGCAGGCACGTCTCCTTTCTGGATGCATAGTCCGCCTCTGTTTGATTCTGGGCATCATGGTATACGAAATCGCACCCCCATGACCTCATGCCAGTACAATTTTGATGATAAAAGGGCTTGCCGTCAATAAGTGATTCATGCGCACGCTGGTAGCCATGAATGAGGTCCACGTAGTTGTTGAACCAGCTTTCAGCATCGGAAATCGTCAGCAGAAATTTGGCATCAGGAAAGGCTGCCATGATTTCCTCGTAAAGGAGCATGTATGGTTCATCCATGGCTGCGTCAAATCCACTCAGGGTGGCAAGCGCATCATCCAGTGAGCGATTGCCAGAAGCATTGCCAAAAAGATATCCACATAGTGGTTCCTGGGATTTGCTTAAGATGGTCCCCAAATATTCATCGATTCTCCCTTTTATCTATATATATATATAATTTATATCTATGGTGGATTTTAATCCCAGTGAGAAATCAAAAATCAGCACCGATTTCAGCAACTCAAAGCATCACGTGACGTGAGGTCGTATCCGCTGTGGCGTGGCTTCAACCCCAGCATCTTAAAGGCGGCATACATCGACTGGGTGCCAGTGCGTGGAGCTCCTACGTCCAGCAGCTGGAAGGCATTCGCTGAGCTAATGAGGACAACGGAGAAGCCGAGGCTCAGGAGAGTTGCCATGTATGAAAAACAGGGCAGGAAGTTGTGCCCTAAGCCTGCGTGAGCCAAAAATGGATAAAAATGGAAGGAAAGGGTAGGCGGAGGAAGGATGAGGAAGGAATCCCATGACCAATCAACTCATGGCAGTGGTTCAATTGTGCAACCAACAAAGTTTTGGGTCCCAAAGGCCACAACACACAGTTGATAATGGCAAAAAGGAAAACTGAGCCGAAACTAAGCTAGTGATTGAACCAGCAGTTCCCAAAAACACCCCAGGATCCAACCTGTAAGTCACATTGAGGATTTGATATAAGCGGCAACGCCTGGAAGTGAAACATGCCAACGTTATATACTAATTGAGCAAACGGTCAGGTTTATGGCAAAGATTAATCATGATTGGTGTTGTAAACCAAAAAAACGACGGCTAGGACTCGGAAGTAAACTCTTCCCAGTTTTTGGGGATGGGTTGAACTAACTCAAATGAACTAAAGACAAAATATTAAACAAATGATACATAATCATTATACATATGAGGATATGTACAGGTGAATCCCACGATTTTTCATGGTTAAATCTATATTCATGGTGAAATCCCACGATTTTTCATGGTTAAATCTATATTCATGGTGAAATCCCACGATTTTTCATGGTTAAATCTATATTCATGGTGAAATCCCACGATGTTTCATGGTTAAATCTATATTCATGGTGAAATCCCACGATGTTTCATGGTTAAATCTATATTCATGGTGAAATCCCACGATTTTTCATGGTTAAATCTATATTCATGGTGAAATCCCACGATGTTTCATGGTTAAATCTATATTCATGGTGAAATCCCACGATGTTTCATGGTTAAATCTATATTCATGGTGAAATCCCACGATTTTTCATGGTTAAATCTATATTCATGGTGAAATCCCACGATGTTTCATGGAAAAATCTATATTCATGGTGAAATCCCACGATTTTTCATGGTTAAATCTATATTCATGGTGAAAACGATCTATATTCATGGTGAAATCCCACGATTTTTCATGGTTAAATCTATATTCATGGTGAAATCCCACGATTTTTCATGGTTAAATCTATATTCATGGTGAAATCCCACGATTTTTCATGGTTAAATCTATATTCATGGTGAAATCCCACGATTTTTCATGGTTAAATCTATATTCATGGTGAAATCCCACGATTTTTCATGGTTAAATCTATATTCATGGTGAAATCCCACGATTTTTCATGGTTAAATCTATATTCATGGTGAAATCCCACGATTTTTCATGGTTAAATCTATATTCATGGTGAAATCCCAGGATTTTTCATGGTTAAATCTATATTCATGGTGAAATCCCACGATTTTTCATGGTTAAATCTATATTCATGGTGAAATCCCACGATTTTTCATGGTTAAATCTATATTCATGGTGAAATCCCACGATTTTTCATGGTTAAATCTATATTCATGGTGAAGTCCCACGATTTTTCATGGTTAAATCTATATTCATGGTGAAGTCCCACGATTTTTCATGGTTAAATGAGTTAAATCCCATATTTCTATCCATTTCAGCTGCTTCAGTGGCCATTTTCCATTCGTCCTGCTGAGCCAGGAGTGCTGTTGGTGGACCTGGCCGCAGGCCCACTGACCATACGGCGGCCCTCCTTGCGACCTGCGTTGAAAAAATCCAAGGAATGGACTGGTTGAAGGGACAATCCATGGTATAATGGGGATCTAGCTTAATCAACCAGGTTGAAGCATAATCAGCCATAGTGGCAACCTCCATTGCCATCAATAGATGAAATGAGCCATGATACTGTTACATATATATATATACTGAAATATGAATAGGATATACTAAAATATGAATTTAATATGATATTGATTGATATTGATGAGTTTGCCAATCAATGGTGATTTATCTGTCAAACATTCATTAACATTATGTTCCAGTTCGAAAACTGTTAAATTGCCATAGACTTACCCTCCAGTAATCTAAAGGGGCAAGCATGAAAGTTTAAATGGGAAAAACATCTGCAACTGGGGGATGTTCCCTTGCCATGTTTGATTAGCAGAGGGTAACCAACAAAGACCCCCCGGGAATTGAGGACTAGTAAGTAACCTTAAGTTATATCAAATTATCTGATGTTTATAATTACTTGGGATTAAACCAAAATAAACCAACCAGTAACTGTCAGTAAGTTGGCTTTATAGTTCTGGTTATGGTCCGGGGATGTGGGGATCAAGGGAACAGCTTTCCGTGCAGGCCACCAAATATGTTCATGATCTGTAGCGATCATTTTGAGCACCAGCTTGGGGGGATATTTACCTGAATAGAAACGGAATGTCAATTGAATGTCTAACCAACCATATGAGATACCCTATGGTGAATTGTTAGAATTTGTGAACTCGAAAATCACCCTGTTTAATCGCTAAATTTTCGACTACGTGGACCATTGCTTCCATAGCAAACTGTTAAAGTAGCTGAGTGTAATCCAAATTGGCCAGATTTTTGACCATCAACAATTGGATTAACCAGCGACAATGAGGCTACCAAGCCAAGAAGAGTTCTTAGTATAAGGGGTATGGAATATTCGCAAAAATACTTATATAACACATGATGTGTCTGAACATGGGGCGGTGTATACCCTTAGAATATCTTAGAATGGCAATGTCGATGGGAAATATAATGACTACCCGTGAAATTGTGGGCTTTTCGCCTATTTTCAGACCCGAATTGAAGCCTCTAGCAATGTTCAAAACACTCTGTCGAATTTTTATACTGCTTCATAGAGATAACCCGTTATCATCAGTTTTACATAGTTTTATACTGCTTAATACAGATAACCCACTATCATCAGTTTTATATAGTTTTATACTGCTTAATAGAGATAACCCGCTATCATCAGTTTTATATAATTTTATACTGCTTAATGGAGATAACCCGCTGTCATCAGTTTTATATAGTTTTATACTGCTTAATAGAGATAACCCACTATCATTATCTTTATATAGTTTTATACTGCCTAATAGAGATAACCCACTATCATCACTTTTATATAGTTTTATACTGCTTAATAGAGATAACCGCTATCATCAGTTATATATAGTTTTAAACTGCTTAATAGAGATAACCCGCTATCATCAGTTTTATATAGTTTTATACTGCTTAATAGAGATAACCCGCTATCATCACTTTTATATAGTTTTATACTGCTTATTAGAGATAACCCGCTATCATCAGTTTTATATGGTTGTGTACTGCTTAATAGAGATAACCCGCTATCATCAGTTTTATATAATTTTATACTGCTTATTAGAGATGACTCGCTATCATCAGTTTTATATAGTGTTATACTGCTTAATAGAGATAACCCGCTATCATAAGTTTTATATAGTGTTATACTGCTTAATAGAGATAACCCGCTATCATCAGTTATATATAGTTTTATGCTGCTTAATAGAGATAACCCGCTATCAACCAACAGGCTTTTGGTGTCCCTCGCCAACGGCGAAGCAGATCCAAACATGGCATGCTCAGGGGCCGGCCTTCCACGCCGGTGTTGCTCTCTCCTGAGGCAGAAACGCGATGCGGATCTAATGTCAAGAGCTATACATATATTACCGTATTTGGGAAGATTACCATTCAGCAGCTATTTTAGGGTTCATCAAATTACCCGGGTTTTGATGGTTGGATTTCTATTGCTTCTACCATTCACCTTTGATCCCTGTACCCTCATCTTGGAGATCTTCATGGCTCGATTTTAGTGGTTCATGTGTATACCAATTTTCACTGGGTCGATGTTTTTCACCCCAAACCTAGGGATCTAGGGTTTACATTACATTCTTCATCTTTGCTTCCAACCCGATTGATCCAATTGTAGGCCTCCATGATCCAGCAACTCAGCCGGCAAACATTGATAAATCCTCAGTTCCTTATATCCTTACGAGGGGTCCGCAATAAGAGGTTCTTAATCCTTCCTTGATAATTCTTTCCCCATCCCATAAAAATGCATTACCGCAAACATGTCAAATTTTGATAGATTTTGGATTTTTATATCTCACTTGTGACTTATACCACTGGTCACTTATATAATATATCGCCACTTACCACTGTTTATTACCATGTTTTCCACACAAATTGCAAACAAATGGGGTCACTGAAAATATGGTACCCCTAAACCCATTAGTTCATTATCATTTTCCGAACAGCAAAAGATTGAGCTGATGATATATCCCGCTAAATCCCATGGTAAAATTGAGTAAAATCCCATAAAATCCCCTATCTTTACAAAAAAAAATACCCAAAACCCCCATGGAAATCCACGGTCAAACGCTCTCCTCGTGATGACGCAGGACGCGGTGCAAAGCTCCCTCGGAGGATGGGCTTTTGGTGAGTTTTTTCCGGGATTTCACCAGCAAAAACTGGGCATGCGCGAAGGAAAGTAGAAATTTAGTTCAGTAAACCAGTAAAGCCCAAAGCTCCAGTAATTTTGTTTCAAATCGCCAAATTCCGCCAAAAACTACGGACTTCAGATACTTCAGTTCAATTGACAGCCCACAAATAAACAAATGCTGGGTTTCATGGATAACTCATGTTGAATTCAAGCAGAACAGTTGTAGTCAATGCATCACATTTCAACATGTAAACTGACCAGCGCAACAAGAATTGGGGTGCAACCAGCAGATGTTGTTTTATCTATTTGAAACGAGCTTCACCCCCATGTTCTCTGCCGTAAACCTCCAAAAAAACTAGATGTTTCCAAATCCAGATCAATGAGTAAATTATACGTTATCATATCGTTCCCCAGAAGATATTATGTGAATAGTACCACTTAGACTTCAATCTGGCATCATCTGGCTATCTTTGGTACCTAACAAGACCTAACAGTCAACACTTCCAGAAAATCATCCCTGGTTGGTGGTATACCTACCCCTCTGAAAAATATGAGTTCGTCAGTTGGGTTTATTATTCCCAATATATTTTTCAGACGTTCCATATTTTTCATGGTTTTCATATTTTAACTTTCCATATTTTTCATGGCTTTCAGTCTTTGGAAAGTCATAAAAACCATGTTCCAAACCACCAATCAGATCCAAATTCGTCGAAACATTGGGGTGCCCCGATGAATAACTTCGCAAACTCACCTGTGCGGCGGTTCGCCTGGCCTGCTCCGTTCAAGGGTTTCCTCCGCACGGTTCCACCTGGGATGTTCCAACACAAGCTGTATATAGAAATTTAGTGTATATTCATGGTTTTCACAATTTTAGAGTATTAGGATATAAGAATCAGGAGATGCTGGATAATGATATGTGTAGATATGATTACATGCACAAATATATATATATATATGTACATACTGGGACGTTCTTTGTGACCTCTTTTAGAGGTCACTTAGACCAAAAAGAAAAGTTACCACTTATGACATACTGGTTTGCCAAGTGACCCCTTTTCTTCTTTGCTAAGTTACCTTTTTGATCCTAAGTGACCTCTTTGATAGTCTAAGTGACCCTTTGATGTGATTTTATCTAAGTGACCTTCTCCAGGGGGTTAAACATGAAAAAAAAATCCAAAGGGTCACATTGAGTGGCCTGGTATATATAATACAGTATATCAGAGTATATCTGATATATCCAAAATGACCATCGTCAACAGAGTCGTCTTCAGTTGCATGAACAATCTTCAAAACCACGGTTGCCATGATCAATATAGCAGCAGCGTCATCATGACATATACCGTTCGGTACTAAAACGTTGATAGCTGGAAAATACCCTACAGTATAAAATCCTATAAATAGAGGTTTTAAAATTTTGACCGGAAAATTAGCTGTTTTTGGTGAATTGTCCATTGCCATGTTTGACCATCCAGCGCAACGGTGTTTTCCAGCTCCCTGCGTCAGGGCTCAGTCAGTCCAGGAGCTTCTGAATCTGCGGCCCCATCTCCGCACCACGGCAGAGATGGATGGGGCAAGCAGGGCAAGCCAGAAGCTGTCGAGGTTCTGCTTCTCCGCATCATCAAATGAATCAATGAAAACGTGGGTGGCTTTCTTCTCATCATGAGATGAAAGCTTTCCTTTGGGCACCAAGAAACAAAAAAAAAGAGCTTGCTCTTGGGTGGCACCCTGGTCTTCCAATTCCTCCATCTGGGTCCAAAGATCAGCAGTGCCGTCACTTTGCTCAGACACAACTTCCGAACCTGAAGCGGCTTTGGGCTCATCACCATCATCATCTCCTACAATCCTTAAGATCCTTAAGCGTCATCGCCCTCGTGCCCTTCAGCTGCTTTTTTGCCGCCATGGGTGCGCTGGCAAAGCTAAAAAACTTCCACTGCTTGGGTCACTTCCTTGGTATCTGACCATGAATCCCTTTCATCATGACCTCCCAAGCCCTCCAATCCTCATCTTCAGCAGATTTCTGCAAACTTGTGTGAAATTTCTCCACTTCTTGCTCCATCTTCACCTCTTCCGTGATGTGCCAACCATTTCGTTCTTGGACACGACGTTCCGAAGAATGTTCCTGAGTTTCAGCAGAAAGGCCTCATTCTTCTGTCCAAATCCCACGCGACTGCCCAGAGCAACACAGGCTTTGAATGAGGCACAGGAACCTGGTAACCAGCTGTTCCAAAGGAACCGGCAGGGTCGCTAAAAACACCCCATTCCTTGGCGCCGGAGGCACCAACTCCCCAGAATTTCTGCTCAGCAGTGCGTCAAATCATGGCAGAGGACAGTGACATGGATTCCATGGACCCTTCAAGACCTCCAAGAACTGCTCCAGCGAATTGGAAGATACCATGGCTCCAGAAGCAATTTCTAGAACTCTCACAAAATCTAGTGCTTGAGACAAAGAATCAGAAGCATGTCGGATCATGTTCGGAGAGTCAACTTTTCACTGATGTCACTCAGCTCATTGGTTGTCACCAAATCCTTGCCATTGAATTCATTGAATCCCCTGGATATCTTCCCGGCGAGCCGGCGAGCCAATCGCTCATCTTCCCACCCAAAATGCTTCTCTCTAAACATGTTTGGGGTGGACCATTTTTATCATTTTTGCGTACAGAGTGGTACCCCCCAAGTTAGAAGTTATAGTCGCCATTAACTAGTTCGATATAACACCCTCATCAACCCGACAGTTATTGGATTTATTTGCAGCAACTTTGCGTTCAATTCAACCATAAATCCATATAAAATCCATATGAAATCCCAAATATCTCAGCCATAAATGCATCTACCCTCTGGTTATTTAACAAAGCCATGGAAAATTGCCCATATTTATATATACATATATATATATATGATTTTCCCAGCTAGAAACCTCCATTTATGGTTGGTATTTTCCATGGCTATGTTAGTCATAACCAGATGGTAATGGTACCAATTCCATACCCCAATTAAATCCAATCCCATCCACGGTTTAATGGTATCTACCATTTGGTATCTACCATTTGGTAATGTTAGTCATAACCAGATGGTAAAATCCCAACGGTTGTTGCTTAAATCACCATGAAATCCCACCATCAAATTGCACAGACGTGCGCACCTCGTGGGGTGGTCATTGGGCTGCCACGGTCATTGCCGATGCTGGGCCTGGCTCCATTGCTCCCACCACAGTTCTGCTGGTTTTTTTTTCGGAAATGGAGATGTTAACCTATAGTGGATCATATACCCTCTGGTAAACTAACAGTTGGCTATTGAAAATGGCCATTTATATAGTTGATTTACCCATTAAAAATTGTGATTTTCCATAGTTCTGTTAGCTTACCAGAGGGTAAGAATACGGTAAGAATCTCCATGAACTTTCCAGTAGAACTGCCTATTTTTCATGGCCAATCAGCCCGATCCCCTGCAAAAAATGACAGATTCTTAGCTGGTGAACGTAGAGAATGCTATTGACATCAAAAGACTATTTTGGATGAGTTTCTACCCATCAGAGGTTGAGATTTTATGGGGATACACTGGAACTACATGATGAAACCAAAGGGAATTAACCATCAAACATAATGATCATAATGGATATGATATTGAAGGTATAAATCCAACAAGAATGGGGATATACTGGAACATAGTAATGGGATGTATATAATGCAGGGTTGCTATATTATATGATTCAAATGTTGATTATATATATATATATATACATATATATATATAGTATCGCATAAAATCCCCATGTTTCATGGTTACCCGCTGATAATCAAACGTGTCTTGCTGGGAAACACTCCATTTAGAATCCTTGATATTCCAGCAAGCCACGGCAGCCACGGAAATGCCGAAGGGTTCCAGGAAGATCACATGACGACGGCAGGGGTTGGAAGATGAGTTTCCACTAAAACTCGCTGATTCTCAGAAAATCTCGGAAATGACGGTAAATCCACTATTTTCTCCGGTTTACACTCATCTTCCTTGCTTTCCACTGTGGGTAAAACAATGTCATAAACCATCCCCCAGTCATCCAATGATTATCCAATGATTATCCAATGATTTTCCAATGATTTTCCAATGATTTTCCAATGATTTTCCAATGATTTTCCAATGATTATCCAATGATTTTCCAATGATTATCCAATGATTACCCAATCATTACCCAATGATTTTCCATTGATTTTCCAATGATTCCCAATGATTTTCCAATGATTTTCCAATGATTATCCAATGATTACCCAATGATTTTCCAATGATTTTCCAAGGATTATCCAATGATTACCCAATGATTTTCCAATGATTATCCAATGATTACCCAATGATTTTCCAATGATTTTCCAAGGATTATCCAATGATTACCCAATGATTTTCCAATGATTATCCAATGATTATCCAATGATTATCCAATGATTTTCCAAGGATTATCCAATGATTACCCAATGATTTTCCAATGATTATCCAATGATTATCCAATGATTATCCAATGATTTTCCAATGATTATCCAATGAGTACCCAATGATTACCCAATGGTTATCCATTGATTATCCAATGATTATCCAATGATTTTCCAATGATTATCCAATGATTACCCAATGATTCCCAATGATTTTCCATTGATTTTCCAATGATTATCCAATGATTACCCAATGATTTTCCAATGATTATCCAATGATTACCCAATGATTTTCCAATGATTGTCCAATGATTATCCAATGATTACCCAATGATTTTCCAATGATTTTCCAATGATTATCCAATGATTATCCAATGATTATCCAATGATTATCCAATACCAGAGGCTAAATCCAAACAAGGAAAGCCTTATCAAGGCTCCGCTGCGCCTGCGTTGCTCAGTCTTGGCTTCCTCCTTGATCCTCAACAAATGTCGGCTGAGAAATCGACCAATGGCCCAAAGATGGAGATTTTTTTGATGGGAAAATATGGGACAATTTGCTATTTATATATAGGGAAATTGTTGTTTATACACACACAAAAATAGATTTATAATAATATATTATATTTATGTGTGGAAATAGATTTATCCCATGTATATCAATGGAAAAACATGGGACAATTTACCTATACCCTCTGGCAATTGTTTACAGTTTGCTATTGAAAATTGCCATAGAAATAATGGATTTACCCATGGAAAAAAAACATAGTTATGTAAACGTTTACCAGAGGGTAAATGATTTATATTTAGGGGACACATGTTGCTATAGATGTCATTGGCATGGGTGATTTTCCCGACGAAACATGTAGAACAATGATACTCAATGCAATCTACAATGGAGATCATATGTGTGTATAGATAGATAGTTAGATAAGGGACATATAAATAGTTGTCAGACAAATGGGATGAATGTTGATCTACTCTCCGGTACTTGAACAGTTTGCTAAGAAATGTATAGATGGCCCCATTTAGTTCAATGATTTACCGATTTAAGAAATCATGATCTTCGGTAGCTATTTTACATTACCCAATGGTAGATACCATTAAACCATGGAGAACAGGGCTGCTCCCAACCTCAGATACGTTTGGGGGAAACTCGGCAATTCAAGAGGTAGCAAGACCAATCTTCCCCCCACAAGAGGCTATGATTCAACATATACTAGGTTGGAACAGCCATGGATGGGATTGGATTTAATTGGGGTATGGAATTGGTACCCTTACCATCTGGTTATCTAACATAGCCATGGAAAATCCCGTAAATAAATGGAGGTTTTTATGGGAAAAACATCTATAAATGGGCCATTTTCCATGGCTATGTTAAATAACCAGAGGGTATATGTTCTCGGACAAGCACACGTTTACGCTCATAAATTTCTCATCCTGGGGTAGACCATTGAATGGGACCATCTCCAGCAAAATCGTTTTACGTTTCAACCTTTGAGTACCAAGGCGGGTACGTCTAAGAAAGCAGGACACCTCATAAACCCGTTGATTATTGATTTGAGTACCCTCTGGTAATTTAACATAGCTATTGAAAATGGCCATTTATAGTGAGTTTTCCCATCAAAAATGGTGATTTTCAATAGCTATGTTACATTACCAGAGGGTACATAGCAGGCCAACACTGTTAGTATTTGGGTATCGCACAGCTTTAAGGCAAAGTCGCTAGTAAATGTTCCATTGTTCTTTGATTCTTTGGTTTCCGTGGCAATTTTTGGATCCCCTGCAGGAAAACAAGACATCTTTAGCCCCGTACATATCATATACCATCAAAATGGCAAATGATGGAGAATATATTAGTATCTAATAGTATGTATATATATATACACCAGTATCAGTATGGTATAGTACTCATTATATAGTATCCGGTATAGATACTCAAATGATTATATAGTTATAGTATCTAGAGTGCAGAACTGCTTTGTCCTATACATAGTATCCGACACCCTTCAGGAATCCCATCCCATCCGTTCAGGTTGTTCAGGTTAAGCGCCCCCCATTTTTTGTGGTCCCAGTAAAGCCGAACCAAGCGGCATATGGCTGGGGATACCCGACTCTTTTTCTGTGTCATCAGCGGCATATGGCTGGGAAATTCCGTGGCCCAAATTGGCGATGTCAATGGAACAAGTCACCTATATATATATAACCTATAAACCATGGAAAATGGCCCATTTATAGATGGTTTACCTATTAAAAATGGTGATTTTCCATGGCTATGTTAGCCATAACCAGATGGTAAGGGGACCATCATCGAAGTCAACGGATCCAAATCTTCGACAAAATTCCAGCAAACCATGTGGCGTTCGATGCTGGATGGTGTCGAAAAAACATCACCAGGTGAATCAAGAAATTGTCTTTGGATATGTCTTTCGAAGAAACCAAGTTTACCTGGTAGTGTTGATATCAATCACTATATATATATATATATCCGACAAATGTTGATATGTCTTATCAAAGTTCCAGAAGTGTTGATGAATCAAGAAGTTTCTCCAAAATCATCCAAAATCATCCTGAAACGATGTTCAGAAGCTGTATATAAATCGAAAAACCTTTCCCATCCATTCTCATAATATATCATAATATATCATGATTCTTCCATTTTTCTTATAATTATGAATATTATAAAAATTTGCCTATCATAATATGTTCCCATCCATTTTTCTTCATAATTCTTCCACTTCTGCAGCTGAGCCCATCCCCATGGTTTTAGGCCAGGCCGCGGCGTGACTTTACGGCCACCAAAGGTGGCCGCTTCGTCCATTTTGACCGAGCCCACGCGGAGGGTGTCCTGCGACAGAAAGTGAATGATGGTTGACTTGATGAGTATAGTTAACTAGTGACTTAATGGATCATTATTTGGGGATGGGTCAAAACCCTGGCACCTAGTGAACCCCAAAATAGCTGGTAAATGGATGTTCATCCCACTAAAAATGTATCTATAGGTATTGACCCATACCTATTTTTTGGTCAGTAACAACTATTATCATGATTAGTCAATTGTTAGTAACTATGATTAATGATTAGTCACCAGTGTCACCAGTGTCAATGGTGATGCTGAGTTACTAGCTATAGTTAACCGTAACCATAACCATCACCATCCATAGTTAAAGGTTAGTAAATGTGAATGACTAATGGTTAGTAACCATTATTAATAGTTAGGAACCTTGGTTAAAGATGAATGATGAATGATGGTTACTTGGTTGTTCATTCCACTTAGGGTATAAGCCTGTTTGTAAATGTGGTAGGGTTCACTTATAACAGGGGTGAACTAAACCACTTACTAACTGGGATGAACCACCAAGTAGTGATTTATGGTCGTACATGATGATTGATAATGGTTAAAATATACTCTATAGTGCTATTACATGCTATTACTATACATAAGTATCTATTTACACAATATACAAAAATGATCAACATAGTTCTTGTATGTAGTATTACTATTTTATATAACGTATAACACGTGATGGTTCATGATGGTTAGGTTAAAGGTAATAATAATGGTCAGGATATTGATATATATATATATATAGTTATAATTAATTATACCATCCCTTCTTCCTACTACTAAAACTCCCCCAAATAAAACATAGGATTGGTGTGGCACTTCCGGTTTTTTTTGGTTGGGCACAGTTGGATTCTTAATTGTGGTAGTTGAGAATCAGTAGGAGAGCAGGATGGGGAAATAATGGATTCAACCCCCTATTAATAAAAATATAGTGCCACCTGGAGGTTTTTTAAACTAGGGTCCCATCTCACAAGTTTCATTTCTTATTTTTGTTATTAAGGTTTTCATTGGAATATTAGGGGAAAGCTTCGAAATCCAGTTTTTGGCAATATTTAATATAGATTTTTAACATTTTTTAACAAGGGATTTAATCAAATTTGAAATATTTTTTTATTATTAAGGCTTGTCATTGGATATTAGGGGCGAAAGGATTGATTAATTATATATGACACAGTGATTACGAAAGGCACTTGCACAAGCTTTGGCTCGCTTCCTCTCCGCTCGCTGACTGTTGCCCAGTCGTTTTAGGATGCATATTTGGTTGAAACATGTTGAAACAACCTTTCTCCGCGCCATGGTCGCCTTTACTGAAGCTATTCCTATTGAGTACCCTTTTTATTGAAGCAATTTCCATTGAAGTCATGGAGACAACGGAGACCCAGTACTTCGAGGTCGTCTGCTTTGTCTACATCGTGGCCCGATTCTTCTACATTTTTTGCTCCTGCCATGTTTCCAGCCAAGTTCTCCAACTGCGACATTTTCTTCATTTTTAAGATTCTTCTTACTTTCACATTCATCTCCAAGCTCGAGACTATGGGGGAAGTCTTGCATTTCATCTCCGTCCTCTTCTGCTCCTTGGTTTTGCTGGAACAATACATTACTCATCCTGGTTGTGCTGTACTGATGGCGCCAGTGCAGGGTCAACGTTCTCCTTCCTGGACAACTTTTTGGCGGCTCGCTCCACTTCGACGATTTCACGAATTCTTTTCCGGCAATTTATACTTCTTTTTCAGTGGTACTTCAAGACCTTGTTCCTATGCACATTCGAATCCATGCTCAAGACTATGGGGGAGTCTTGTACATCATCTCTTACCATGCCTTCTCCTTTCTTGCCGGAACGTTAATTCTTCACCGTGAATGTCCGCTACGGTCTTCCCTACAGGTCAAATCAACTCCATCAAGGACCAGCTAACGCTCGCACACGCCGCCAGAGGCGTGTTGGGAGACCACGGTCAACAGAATTTCTCCAACTACTGAAGGCCTACTTTCTCCCACTTTCTCCCCTTTTCAATTCAACTCTCCAAAGCGAAAGTTGTGGTCACGAACCCTGCTGTGCGTCACGGGACTGTTCTCCTTCAGGTTGCCTATTCCACTGGGTCCCATGTAGAAGGTGCCCTCGTCAGCGTATCCCGAAGCTCGATGTCCAAACCATCTGCTGAGGAAAGACAGAGCACCCAGAGGATGCAGAGTCCCAACTAATGAAGACATTCCTATTGAAGCAATGTTGAAGCATTATTTCGCGTTTTCTGTTCATTTATCTCCACAAGCTGACGGAATGAATGCTGCTGCGGACGTGTAGTTAGTGTAGTTCCCCGGAGCTGCATATCGCCATATCGCTCGTGAAAAAAAGGTTGTTATAACATCTATAAGACCTATAATAATAATCATGGCTAATGATGTTTCGTAACTGTTATTATAGGTGATGCGAAACAGAAATACTAAAATAAAAATAATCATCCCAGAACCCTTGACTGGTGAGTTTCTTGTTCTGGTTCGATGAGTTTCTTATAGGTTTCTTGGCGGGGTTACTTTTTGGAGTCCAATCCTATGTAATACCACCGTTTTCGTGGTTGATGGGATTTAATGGGATGTCTTGTGAATTAACTAGCTAGAATAGATTAAAACCTGTACTTGGTTAGTTTCATGGGCCAAGGTATAACCGCAGTGACCACCATAAGTATCCGTAAGTTGGGATATGTTTCAGCCCTAGAACTATGATGAAATATATCCACTTTTATATCACCGGAACCTCCATGTATGGGCCACTGATTTTGGTGGCGCATTGTGGCAACATCTGGAAGATTTGGAAGCATCACCAACGTCCTGGGTTTCCATGTTCTCTTTCTGGGGGGCTACAGTAGTACCCTCTGGTAAACTAACAGTAAGCTATTGAAAATTGCCATAGAAATAGTAGATTTACCCATTAATAGCATGGTGATTTTCCATAGTTACGTTAGTTTACCAGAGGGTATATGGCAAATAACGGTTGATGGTGAATAACGATTCACAAATGATCAATAATAAATCATGGGTTGACAAATTAGTTAATAAATCGTGGTTGATACTCGGTACCGATGGTCACAAAACCTGTAAATGCGTGTCGAAAGGGAATTCCCACGAAAATATGGGAGGTTTTTCACCAATAAGAATGGAAATTCAACCATCAACATTCCCATTATCATAATGCGAATTGAACCATCAATCTCCATTAATTATCATCATACAGTATGTGTTAGCAATCAACATCCCATGGTCATTGATGTTAAACCCCCTTTTTATTCTTCTGTTGCTGGTTAACCTAATTATTATCAACATATGGCAGTGTGTCAAAACCTTGTACCCCTGGTGAACATCAAAATAGCTGGTAAATGGATGTTCATCGTATCTATAGGTATTGATCCATATCCATATGATTCATCTAACATAAGATTGGCATGATATTTTTATCAACATATGATTCATCTGAGCGGAACCCATTCCAGACCCCGCCTCATCAACCCAGGCCAGTTGCAAGAAACCCTGCACAGCTGCAGCGGACTTCGGGCCTGCGTTCATTGACAAAAACAAGACCCAAAAATGGTGAGTTCAACATGAAAGAACTGGAGTTAAAATGAGTTCACCCTAACCAGTGACAAATGGTGGTTCTATATGCACACATATATTATATATGTATATATATAATCCTATATATATATAAGACTATCTATAAAAGTGTTAAGTAGATATAAACCTTAGTAAAGCAACTCATGAGTCAACTTCGCGAACAACGGGGTATCACCTTGCCCCACCTCAATGTTTTCCCATTACCCTTCGGGTTAAAAAAAACATGGCCATTACTTGGAAATCCCGGCATTACTTGGAAAAAAAACATCCAATTTATGGAGGGGGTGACCAAACAGAGCCATCTATCACCCAAGGAGGCTGCCATTCAGTTACCCAACAGATCCAGGATCTGCGTAGGGATTTCCGAGCTACAGAGGTGAGCCAATGATGGTTCGCCAATTCAAACAGTGAGCGAAACTACCAGTTGACTATTCATGTCGACTTCCAATGACATGGTTGATCTATTACAATTACATGTTGATCTTACACAAATTACATGCTTTATCCCCATGACATATTGGAAATATGAACAGTGAGCGAAACGAAACCACCAGTACCAGCGCACCGTTGTTCATGGCCACAAGACTAGGATGTGAGCAGCCCAAGGATGTCAAAGACACCTAGAGTGATCGCAGAGGAAGCAAAATTTCATGTGCCCCCGAGCCGGAGATATTGGGAGGTAACCAAACCACCATTTTTATGATGATATAATGGAATATTCATAGAATATATGTTTAAATGGAAATTCAATGAATTCTCATAGAATGTGAACGGAAAGTGATTTTCATGACAATGTGGACCATATCATAACCCAGTCATATGATGTATGTGGGATATACCGCAGCCAGGGTGAAATTGTTTGAGCACTGACTTGGGGTCTCTGGTCTCGTGGCTAATCTAACCCAGCTATGGAAAGCTATGGAATATAGCCCCTGGTAAACGTTTACATAACTATGGAAAATCACCATTCATAATAGGGAAATCAACTATTTCTATGGACCATTTTCCAGCTCGCAAACTGTGAACGTTTACCAAAGGGTAGATGAACATGGCCCCTTTGGTATTGATGCTTTACCTAAACACAACACAGTGGTTTTCCACATCATTCCACATCTATGTTTGATTGCTGGAGGGTACGCCAATATATGAAGCAAATTCGAGCCATAACTGTCTGGTTATGACTGACATAGCTATTGAAAATGGCCATAGAAATAGTGAGTTTTCCCAGTAGTAGCATGGTGATTTTCCATAGTTATGTTAAATTACCAGAGGGTAACTGTCTGGAACCCGGTTTGAATGAATCAACCGTATATTGAAGGGACAACTTGATACCGTCAGGCAGCACATCACACTTAGAAGCTTCGAGTTCATCATCCAGGAGTTCACATGAATCCAGCGTCGACATTAAGACCTATGACGGTATGTCAATCTGAGTCAATTCTATGTTGGGATATCAAAAATGATATCCCCATGTGTTTGACGAATGTCCGAATCCCCATTCCAAACAAAATCCGTAGTATCTCCAAAAAAATTATTGGCAATCTTTCATGATCTCCGCTAGGCTTGACATGAGAAAGACATGCCAGGGGCGGCTCCCAACACCATCAGTTTCCCCCATCTTGTGGAAGTAAATTCACCGAAAAAATGGGTTTGAGCAACCAGAATTTTCCGAAAAAACAAGAGGATGAATACAAAGTGGTGCAGATCAGATAGAAGTTGGATTTATAGTTTCCATAGTTCTATCAGCAGACTACATCATGAAATATCTCATTTCCAGAAACCCTAGTTAACCGCCTGAGGAAGTAAAGCATCTTTGCTCTGAAAAGCTCTCAAAAAGTCAACTCAGGTAAAAAAAAAATCAGTCAAATCCATTGAACCAGTTCAATCTTAGAAAAGTTGGCATTGAACCACAGAAGTGGTTCAATCCCTGTTTTTCTTGGTTCAATGCCGATTCAGCAGTGTTCAAAATCCCTCTGACATTCCATTTATATAATCCTGGTCGGTCAAGAACGGGATTCCCCTGTGGGACTTTTTCTTCTATCCCCTTTTTAAGGGTAGTGGAATCGCCGAACTAATCATCAACAAAATATCCCAACTATAAATCCATACTTTGATGGTAGCCTATGAATGATGGAACAAAACATCAACCAACCATCATAAGTTCAGTTATCTCCATTGATTTTATGTGGGTAAAACAATGTCATAAACCATCCAGGAAAATCCACCATGTTTTGTTGGGTGGTATGAACTTACCATTCCCAGTCATGGAGTCATGGGTGGTAAAAATGGCATTGTTTTACCTACATGATCTCCATATCTTGCCGGTGAAAAGCCCCATTTTTTTCAATGACCAAAAACCACCGAGGCACTGCCAGGCTGGCGCTTCGTTCTTGCGAGACGTTGCCATCGGCGCCGAAGACCAAGCCCTGGCGCCACACCGTGGGATCCACCGGTGTTTTTTTTCACGGGAAAACCCGTTGGAAAAAACGGGTGATTTCCGATTTCACCGTTGCAAAAATGATGTGAACCAGGAAATTTCCCATGTGATTTCCATGGGATCCTTTGGATTTCAGTGACAATCATGGTGGAAAGGAAAGATCATTGGATATACTAATGGCGATTTATAATGATCAAACGTGGCTGGAAAAACTCTATCAATGGAGGTTTCGTTGGGAAAATCATCGAAGCAAATGAGGATTTTCCGGCCAGCGTCCAACTGTTCGTTCTCTATTTGGGGCTTGCGATACTTCGTCGATACTTGTATATGCATCCTGTTATATGTGAAATAACTAAGTTACATATGTATATAGTTGTATGTATATAGTTATATGTATATAGTTATATGTATATAGTTATATGTATATAGTTATATGTATATAGTTATATGTATATAGTTATATGTATATAGTTATATGTATACAGTTATATGTATATAGTTATATGTATATAGTTATATGTATATATATATAGTTGTATATATATAACTATATAGTTATATCAATATATAGTTACATGTATATATATATATATGTGTATATATATATATATACATGTATATATATATACATATATGTATATAGTTTTATGTGTATACCCTAGTAAAATATGGCTTATGATGGCTTATTGACAAATTGCTACCTGGGATGCTCCAAACAAACCCTGGTGGATTCTATACTAATCCTGTTCAATTCTGAAGTCTTAGATTGTATTTGTGGTTGGAATCGATCCAATCTACCGGTAATCAAACAGAGCTTGCTGGGAACATGTCCCACTTAGTTCGATGATGTTCCCATTTAAAGCTCCATTTGTACCGGATTTTTCCAGCCTAGACTATTCGATGAACGGCATTTGGTCGTCAGCAGTATGGGTCAAAGATTTCTGGAGGAAACGGGCAACTGTTAGCCAAGTTGACCCGGCAAACGATGGGGTAGGCTATGACCTACAAACAACAGGTTGCTACCTTTCATGGCTCAATATCGAGTTATATCAAATATGGATAAACATTTTGTACATCATTAGAGTGAAACATCTGATGGTTCACCAAAAACCTTTAGCCAATCAAGAGGCCCCTTTGCAATGTGCAAGAAAAGGTACTCAAATGGGTTTCTTGGTGGTTTGTGGATCTCCTGCTAAAACTTTAATTTTTACTGGGTTATGTGGCTATAATCCATCCAGTTGTGGCTTCTTAGTGAACTCGAAATCGACCAAAAATGGTAGTGTCTGGTGTGGCCGATACATGTAGTGTTCCATATTTTTCCTTACTACAGTCAGGTTTCTTACAAGGTGGTGCCCCATAGTTAGCTAAGTCAGCTAAGTTGGTTTATAACTCCAATATCTAGGGTTTATGGGGCTTGTATCTATAGTTACTGGGGGGTTCTTATCATGTTTGCCAGCTGATCCCTAGTTTCATGGCAAATCAATGGTTTAGCTTCAGCTAGCAGCTGCACTTTGATGTAAACTTGGTACTGCTGGTAATCAGCATCCTCACTTATATCCATCTATTAGGGCAATCCAGCAATATTGGACACAACTATTCAATATTTTGGTGGTTAAACCCCAATTTTTAGACTATTTTGGTGGCTACACCCCAATTTTAGACTATTTTGGGTGTTATACCCCCATTTTTGGACAATTTTGGGGGGTTACACCCCCATTTTTAGACACACCTCACATGGATCTCCCTAACAGTCGCTCTCAACACGGTCACCGATCCTGCACATAGATGGCATGCTCCAACATGATCGCGAGCACTTCCTCCTCTCCTGCGAGGCGCGCCTTGAAGTTGTCACTACAAATACCCGGCCTGGTAAACGTGTACAGACATCTATGGAAAATCACCATTTGTGTAAATCAACTATTTCTTTTTTGGCCATTTTCCAGTTCGCAAAATGTTGAACTACCAGAGGGTACTTGATGTTGAATTTACTGTGCCCCGGATGATTGATGTGGTTTTAGGTCATCAGTCCGCCGCATCAAAATCTTTCCCATAGGAACAAGGTTGGTCAACTCACGCCGTGCCTCGGAATGTGGTTTCCCAAGATGTATATTTACATGTATACCACCACTATATAGTAACAATGATAATAACAACAATCACAATAATAATATCATATTATATATAATTAATTATATATATATGATATGATACATCTATCATATATAATCATATATATATATATATTACACATATCAACCATTACATCCATTTTGTATATGTTACTTGACCCTTTGATCAACAGGCGCCGCCTCGCCAACCGCCGCGGTCCTCGCAAGAAGGTCCTCATGGTGACCACGCTGGCATCTTCTCCTTCGTGGCCCCATGGGATTTGGCATCGAAAATTTGGGGATACCCATTGTTAATAATATTATAGTAATGGGTATCCCCAAATATTACTATATTTAACACATATATATATATATATATGATACTATAGTAATGATAATTATAGTAATCCTGATATTAATGTTACTATCATTGTGAATTGCTACTGATATTATTGAATGGTAACACTTCAGAAGTCAAAAAGTATAAGAACAATAATGGATAATAACTAGTAGATCGTAATTATCACTGATATTATCACTATAAGTAGACGGATAACATGATAAACAATAGTAGAAAATAGATGGTTGGTGGTATACCTACCCCTCTGAAAAATGATGGAGTTCGTCAGTTGGGATGATGAAATTCCCAATATATGGAAAAATAAAAAAAGGTTCCAAACCACCAACCACCCATTGTTAATTACTACTGAAAAAATGGTCATGGGAAAAAAATGGTCAACCCTGTTTTCTTTTTTTGATGCTCCTCACCATTTTTTTATATTTTTCCCCGCATTTCTCCGCACTTGTCACCACATCTGAGCCACAGGTTTTTGCATCTGTAACCCACTTCTTGCCACATTCTTTTTCATCTGGGACGAACTCCTTCCCACACTTCTCTGCATTTTTGATCCTCTGCTTTCCACACTTCACAGGGTCAGGTGTCAAACATAAACAATATTGGCATTTGGAGCCACTGCGACCATGAAGTGAGCCCGTGAAGTTCCAATGTTCAGCGACGCATCTTCCATGGAGCACGTCTCATTCCTGTCGAGCCGCTCTAGCTGCTCTAGCTGCCAAGTTGCGGAGCTCTGTCCGACTAAAGCCAGAAGCAGAGCGGCAAAAAGCGAGCTGTTTCACATAGGAATTGTTCCTTGGCAATCTTCTCACGCTGCAGATCTTGTCTTTGGGCTGCAGCTGCGCGGTTGGCACGTTGGCGCTCACGCCTTTTCTGTGCTTTGCTCAGCTCTGCCTCCTCCACCTCCACGACGATGCCAGCCTGTCATGGTCGTAGCCTCTCCACGTTGAATCTGGTCCGATCTGCAAATCCCTGGATTTGGGCTTTTTGGATCGTGAGAACAAGCGTGCTCTGCTTAGAAATTCTTAGAATCAGAGAACCAGAGCACAGCTTCAAGCAGTATGCGCACAAAATCGACGTGCCCTGAAACAGCTGCAATCATTACCTTTGTCATGCCATGCATCTGCGGCTTCTCTTTGTCGGCGCCAGCTTCAAGCAGTATTTGCACAACGTCGAGCTGGCCTTTCGCACTTGCAATCATCAATGCTGTCAATGTTGTCATTCCATTCACAAACGCCATCTCTTTGTCGGCGCCCGCCTCAAGCAACAAGCGCACAACTTCTAGCTGGCCATTCATAGCTGCAATCCCCAATGTTGTCATTCCATCTATCTGTGGCTTCTCTTTATCGGCACCGGCCTCAATCAGAAAGGTGACAGTGTCAGGGTGTCCTCTAGCAGCTGCCATGCCCAATGCTGTGATTTCATTGTTACTGGCCTTCTCTTTGTCGGCGCCGGCTTCAACCAGCAAGGACACAATGTCCAAATGGCCAGTTCTACTGCAATGAACAAGGGTGTGATCCCATCTGCGCGGCCTCCTCCATCTTTCTCAGCACTTGCCTCAAGTAACAGCCGCACAGGTTTGATATGCCCGTTCCGGGCACCATGGTGTAAAGGTGTGTTCCCATCCACATCTTCCACATTGGGATCTTGCGGGGACCGTAGCTGCTCTTCCAGCAAAACGGAATCGTAGTCTCTCGATGCAAAGATCATCTGCTGGGTTCGTTCAGCATCAGGTGGGCAGAATTCCGAGAACAGCAGCTTGATCTTGACAGGAGCCAAGGAAAAGATATCATCATCCGAAAACTCCTCGAAACCATCTTCCAAGAAGATCCTCTGCCTGAATCTGGAGACTCCAAACCTTAGATTTGCGTTTCTTGGGGCCAAACGCGTATATACATAGATTCTAAAATATTCCAAGCAAATTCGGTGTAACCAATGGGAAAATGAAAAAACAAACTACATCACATCATCTTCAACAAATGTTCTTAAAGGAACCAAAAAGTTGCAAATCCCAGAAACTGTGCTGCCAAGGATTGCTTCACAGTTTTCACCATTTTGCCTTCGAATTCATCTGCCTCAAGTACTGCCAACCTCTCGCCGCCGAGTAAATCTCCATGTTGTTCACGCGAATATCTTGGGATATTTATGGATTGTACTTGGTGCTTATCTTATGCATTATTCATCCTTATTCAGATATCTATATGAAGTTACATAACATTACAGAACTATGATATCATACAATATGAATATCTAGATATTTAATTAATTATATGAATTACATATAGCATAACTATGAAACTGACTAACACCTCTTTGTTTTTTGTGTGCTGCTTAGGCTCGCCCCGCAAATTGCGCCACTTTGCCGCTGCCAGTGGATTTCAAAAAATGGCTGGATGGCCCCGTTGTTTAGTCGTTTGCTATCTGTGTATGGAAAAAATCGCATGGATGTTGTATGATGTTGTATGGATAAATGGAATCGTATGGAAATGTATGGAATAATAAGAATAGCAATGGATAAATGCTGGAAATTACGATTTGGAATTGTATGGTAAATGTTGATGTTGATGCACACCTATGATCTGACGGTCGGCGCATGACGGCGCTTTTTCACAAATGGAGCATGGGCAAGACATGTTTGGAAAGCTACTTACGGAGTCAGGGTCACAAAGCGAGGCTTTGGCGGATTTGACAAGTCAATTTGTTTGGACGATTCATCTGAACCTTCAGCCTTGGGACACAGGACACTGAACCATCATTTACGTCATGACCTCACACATGATGTCCCATTTGTCGATTAGATGTCCCATTGTAAATACGTGAACTGCTTAGACAATTCCATATCATAGTTATCCCAGTATTCCTATATGGAGGTTTCCAAGTCATGTGGGTTACCCCCAAATCATCCAAGTCATTCGACCATGACTTAGTAGTATTGAAACCACAATGGTGACTTGGGGATCCCCCATGACTCAAAACTTCTATATATCTATTCACCACTATTCACCACTATCAAACCACTATTCAACCACTATTCAACCACTATTCAACCACCATTCACCACTATTCACCACTATCAAACCACTATTCAACCACTATTCAACCACTATTCAACCACCATTCACCACTATTCAACCACTATTCAACCACCATTCACCACTATTCAACCACTATTCAACCACTATTCAACCACTATTCAACCACCATTGACCACTATCAAACCACTATCAAACCACTATTCAACCACTATTCAACCACTATGCAACCACTATTCAACCACTATTCAACCACTATTCAACCACCATTGACCACTATCAAACCACTATCAAACCACTATCAAACCACTATTCAACCACTATTCAACCACTATTCAACCACCATTCACCACTATTCACCACTATCAAACCACTATTCAACCACTATTCAACCACCACTCACCACTATTCACCACTATCAAACCACTATTCAACCACTATTCAACCACTATTCAACCACCATTCACCACTATTCAACCACTATTAACCACCATTAACCACTATTCAACCACTATTCAACCACTATTCAACCACCATTCAACCACTATTCACCACTATCAAACCACTATCAAACCACTATTCAACCACTATTCAACCACCATTCACCACTATTCACCACTATCAAACCACTATTCAACCACTATTCAACCACTATTCAACCACCATTGACCACTATCAAACCACTATCAAACCACTATTCAACCACCATTCAACCACTATTAACCACTATCAAACCACTATCAAACCACTATTCAACCACTATTCAACCACCATTCAACCACTATTCACCACTATCAAACCACTATCAAACCACTATTCAACCACTATTCAACCACCATTCACCACTATTCACCACTATCAAACCACTATCAAACCACTATTCAACCACTATTCAACCACCATTCAACCACTATTAACAACTATTCACCACTATCAAACCACTATTCAACCACTATTCAACCACTATTCAACCACCATTCACCACTATTCACCACTATCAAACCACTATCAAACCACTATTCAACCACTATTCAACCACCATTCACCACTATTCACCACTATCAAACCACTATTCAACCACTATTCAACCACCATTCACCACTATTCAACCACTATTCAACCACCATTCACCACTATTCAACCACTATTCAACCACTATTCAACCACTATTCAACCACCATTGACCACTATCAAACCACTATCAAACCACTATTCAACCACTATTCAACCACTATTCAACCACTATTCAACCACCATTCAACCACTATTCACCACTATCAAACCACTATCAAACCACTATTCAACCACCATTCACCACTATTCAACCACTATTCAACCACCATTCACCACTATTCAACCACTATTCAACCACCATTCACCACTATTCAACCACTATTCAACCACCATTCACCACTATCAAACCACTATTCAACCACTATTCAACCACTATGCAACCACTATTCAACCACTATTCAACCACTATTCAACCACCATTGACCACTATCAAACCACTATCAAACCACTATTCAACCACCATTCAACCACTATTAACCACTATCAAACCACTATCAAACCACTATCAAACCACTATTCAACCACTATTCAACCACCATTCACCACTATTCACCACTATCAAACCACTATTCAACCACTATTCAACCACTATTCAACCACTATTCAACCACTATTCAACCACCATTCAACACTATTCAACCACCATTCACCACCATTCACCACTATTCAACCACTATTAAACCACCATTCAACCACTATTAACCACCATTAACCACCATTTTTCACTGCTACACAAACCGCCCAGCGCCCATTCTGAACGGCACCTGGAATCTGAACTTTGCCAAGGTGATGAGCTCGGGTCGTCTTGTCATCCCGCCACCTGGGGGAAGCAACGGTAGTCGAGTCATAATGCTGTGTATACTATGTAATACTCATATCAATACGTGTATATATATAACTATTATATATATAGCTATATTATATACATATATTTAGATCAGAAGAAACAATAATAAGAATTTTAAATTGGAGTAATAATGATAAACATCATTATACTAACACAATCAGCGTCATCCTCGTCCACCTCCAGGCTACGGCGGGGTGCCTGTGGTCCAGTCACTAGGCTAGGAAAACCCACCGGGTAACCGGTAAGGGTGGTAAGGGTGGCATGGATAGAAATGGCGACCCTCAAAAAAGAGACCGAAAACATGAAACCATAACTGTTATCGTAGGGATTGACTATCTTCTATCAGATTCTGATTGATTTCGTAAGTCATCACCATAAAACAGTAGGGATTGACTATCTTCAGCATCTCCTTGGGTGCAACATGTTTCGGAAAAATCTTCTTCAAACACAGCCCAGAGGGAACCAGGTTCCAACTGCTTCCCTCAGAGCTCCATCTGGATCTCTGCTGGTATACCTACCCCTCTGAAAAATGATGGAGTGAAAGTCAGTTGGGATGATGACATTCCCAATATTATTAATGGAAAAATAAAAGCCATGTTCCAGTCACCACCAACCAGATATATTGTTATTCCAATTATTAACCATAGATTAACCATAGATTAACCATAGATTAACCAGGAAAATTCCATGGTTCCAGTCACCACCAACCAAAAGTATAGATGGGATCTCAATGATCCCATTTTTATGATCCCCTCCGGGCTTGCCGACTCCATGATCTGCACCATCGCCATCTTGCAACCTGCGGAGTTTGATCAATCCCCCGGCAATTTTTTGGGGCTACCCTCTGGCTGGTTCAGAGCTATTTCTGAAAAATGGCCATTGATTAAGCTGTTTTACCTCTTCAGTCCTATGAAGTCCTATTAGAGATGACGATTTCCCATAGCTATGTGTAGCATTGTATAGCATCGTAACAAATTACCAGAGGGTATACCAACTTTTTCAGAGGCAACCACCCTTGTATTGTGGTCAATTGAGAACGCAAAGAACCCAAAATACTTGGCCGTGCCAACCCATCCCACAATATTTTAGTGCTAGTAGTCACTGGGATCAAGGGGGCTCAAACGAAACACACAAATCAATAAACATCACCTAACCAGTTCACATGACAGGTTGGTGGTATACCTACCCCTTTGAAAAATGATGGAGTGAAAGTCAGTTGGGATGATGACATTCCCAACTGAATGGAAAAATAAAACATGTTCCAAACCACCAACCAGATGAGTATGGATGAGCGTTGGGTGATCTGAAAATCAATGTCAAAACACCAAAATCATCTAAATTTGTTGCTCCCAACCTCTTAAAATTCTTACTATGTGGGGGGTTTGTCAAGAAATACAATACCACTAGAATTGAATGCTTCATCACTTTTTTTGCCTATTCATTCAAGTCAAATACTTCAGGATGAACACCACATTTTCAGATGCAAGATATCAATGATATTCCATTCTTAAACTCCCATTCTATATCCCAATCTATCATCCCATTTTCTGATCAAGCCATGGTTAAAAAGCCATCACCCATTGGATCCAGGTCGGCCCCGGCCCCTTCTCGAACCGAACCTACATAGCATCGACTGACTCGAGATTTGGCGCTGCCACACAGGCAGCTGACAGGATTGTTGGGCAGGAGGTTCCTGGCCGGGTCAACCAACAATGTCTGGGATTTCCAATGGGGATGTCATGGGAGAATCCTAGGTCCATGAAGCTTGTTTCATGTTTTTCTGGTTGGTGGGTGATTTCAACCCCTCTGAAAAATGATGATTAGTCCCAATGTATGGAAAAATAAAAAATGTTCCAAACCACCAACCAGATGTGGTATAAATTGCCCATTGATCAATCTGGATCAATGACCTAAAATGTCAAATGGTGATGTTCATTGATGTTCCACATCTACCCTCTGGTAAACATACAAAACGCTATGGAAAATCACCATTTTCAATGGGTAAATCCACTATTTCTATGGCCATTTTCAATAGCTATGTTAGTTTGCCACAGGGTAATCATGCTGAAGGATGGCCCAGAGGATGATGAGAATTTGGAGCCCCAAAGATGGTGTTTACGGTGATTTTTCTGCTGGAAAGAAGTCACCCAGGATTCTGGTGAGGGGATATTGATGGGATGTTTATGGGATATTCATCGCATATTTATGGGATATTTATGGTATGTTTATGGGATATGTAAACAACTTGACATGATATCATGATATTGGGATATGTGCCGAAAATAAGTTGGGCATGCCCCGAAAAAAACATTGCCAGCGGAAAAGGGCCGTAGAGAACATTGTGATTCAGGAATGGATTTCAGGGTACCCTATTTTCAGACAAAGATAGACAAAAATCCTCGCTGTTTAATCAGGGGTTACCTTCCTGGCAGCCATTTTTTCGCTTTTATTGGGAATACTTCTAATTGACCAATCAGGTTGATTCATCCGTACTTGAGATTGAGTGAATCAGCTAATAACCCCAACCAACATTTACCCTGTTACTGCTTCGCATGTGAGGTACAATCAATAAAAGGACGTAGAGTCGACTTGTGTATTCCGGCTGAGATTGTGTGAGAACTTCGCCAACCATGGGATGTCTTGTTTGTCACCACAAGCCTTTTGGAAAGCATCGGAGTATATCGGAGTTCCTGCATCAATAGCAATGAATGGAAGTACTTGACTGGTTGGTGGCGGTTTTAACAATCTTGAAAAACGATGGACTTCGTCAATGGGAAGGATGACATCCCATATATATGAAATGGAAAATAAAAACCATGTTCCAAACCACCAACCAGATCACCATCATATTCCCATTGTTGTTGGTTTATAGCCTATTAACCACTATTAACCATCATCACCAAACCACCAACCAGTTGAAACTTTGCCATGTATGAAAGCCAAATCACTTGTGGAACAACTTTGCTGAAATCCGCCAACCGCCAAGAGTCTCATCTGAAAAATTCACCCATGTCGCAGTCCCAGAGGTAAGCCACAACTTTTGTTCGAAACCCTTCGGGTGCCATGCCGAAACACTGCCGAACTAATCATTTTCTCAAAAAAAAAAGAGTACCCTCTGGTAAATTAACATAGACCCTGGTAGATAGGGGTTGGAAGACTAGTTTCCATTAAAAATGGGTGATGTTCAGGGTCTATGTTTATTTACCATAGGGTAAACTGAGCTGAGAAATGGCCAACTTTTCCCAATTTATGGCAGATCTTTTCATGGATCTTCATGGAGTTTGGATGAAAACACCGTTGAGCCGCCGCACACATGCGCGACCAAGCGCTTCGGGGGCTCCAATTCCCGGCAGATCACCTGGGTCTGGGATGGGACCCATGGGGATATCATGGGGATATCATGGGAGAATCCTAGGTCCATGGAGTTTTTGTTCATGTTTTTTTGCCGAAGTTTTGTGGATGGGTTGCCCCAAATCAGATTTAATCATGACAATGACGAGTTTCGTATCGAAACCAATTTGTGACTTGGGGGGTAGCCCCAGTTTAAGTTCAAGAAACCTACATATCCACTTAGTATCCTGGGTCCTGTACATCCAAGCAAGAACCATTACTGGGCAAATGAAACCTACCTACTGGGCAAATCAAACCCAGTTAAGCGCTCAAACCGCTTGAAGTTGTAGTTGTAACCCCAGTTCCATTCGGATGGGTACACATGGTAGGGGCCCTTCAGTGACCTCTCTGAAGTTGCGCTACCGTAGAAACGCCGTAAGAACTCGAAGTGCAAGCCGGTGCTGTTCAGAATTTGCAAATGACTTTTTGATTAAAAACCTGTATGTAAAATAATCTCAGGTATAATGGTTACTAGTGGTATGTAAGCGACTGAAAGTGGGGAGTACCGAAGGGATCAACGATCCGAATCCTCCATAGCTTGAGCGATCCGAACATATACCCGGCCTGGTAAACGTTTACATAGATAGCTATGGAATATTAGGACCATTTATGGTGGATTTACCCATGAAAATAGCATGGTGATGGATCTTTCCATAGTTTTTTCTATGTTTACCAGAGGGTATCAAAACATGCGAACTTGAAAGTACGACTAGATTGACTAGATCCTCTTGTAGGTCAAAAACCTCTTACCTATGCACCCAAAACAAGATCAATAAAGTATACAGATGTCCTTCTGCTACCCTGCAAGTTCCATGAGCATCACTCTTGGGCTGGTCACCACTTGCCTCCAAAAATGGCACCTCTTGACCCCTTAAAATCTGCAAAAAAATAATACCCTCTGGTAATTTAACATAGCTATTGAAAATGGTGATTTATAGTGGATTTTCCCATTGAAAATGGTGGATCTTTCCATAGCTATGTAAAAGTTTACCAGAGGATATCGGGGTGGACCCTGAACCAAACCGACCGCGGAGCGGCCTCGCAGGAGTAAAGCTTGGCACCAATGCCCGAGAACCACACAGTCCTGAGCTCTTGAACCCATGGTTTCAAGGGTCTGGTGGGTAAACACCAAGGACGTGGATGAAAGAATCATCAATGTCCCATACATGTACGATATAAGAGATATACAGTATATATACAGTACTAGTATATATATATATATGTGTGTATAGCCCACAATGGAATTATCACCCCAAAAAAATGGCTATCGTTTTTTATCACCCCAAAAAAATGGATGGTGTAATGCAAAGAAAATCGAAGAAAAATGCCAATGTTGGTCCATGATCTCCCACGGACTTGACCAAAATTTGGTGTAAGAAATATCTCCAGTCAGATTAATGGCTTATTCACACTAACCACAATATAGATATGGAATCTCCCCAGTTAGATTTCCATGGCTTCTTGATGTTCTTAACATTTCTGAACTTCTGACTTTTTCTGATTGGTGGTTTCAACCCCTCTGAAAAATATATGAAGGTCAGTTGGGATGATTATTCCTAATATATGGAAAAATAAAAAAAGTGTTTGAAACCACCAAGCAGTTTTAGGCACAAAGAATTTTGCCAAGAAACAAGCGTTCTTGTGATCTCTCTTGAGGAAAGTGATGCGTTGGCACGATGTCGGTGATCAAGATATCACCTGGCGAATCTGGCGCGAGATCACTCGCCGAAACTCATTTGGTAAGGATTTTTAAACGTCCACATTCCATCTACTCCAGGATGACTACACAGACTATAATATATATATATATGTATATGTATGTACATAAGTAGCCTTGCTACACAGACTATAATATATATATATGTACATAAGTAGCCTTATGTTCAATATGTGTGAACTTTTCTTGGCATTGACACTCCATTCAGCTTACGTCGCACCGTTGGGTGACACAAAAATTGCTCTGTGCAGTTGTTGGTGGGTTACTGGGATCATCCACAGAGATACATTCAAAGCCATGGCATCAGTGTTTCTAAACTCATGGCATAGTAACTTTATATATATATATATATTTAAACCCAAGGTAAGATATATACATATATACATATATACACATAGACATATATACATTTATACAAAAAACAGAAACATATGAAGACTTCAACATTTACAAAAAGAAACGAAACGGCTGCAGCAGCACCCCACAATAAACCTACCGGCACCGGCTTCGTGTTACGTCTCTCTTGGGCGCCAGGCTGAGGGGATCGCTCCAGCCGATGCTTTGAAGCTGGAGCACCTCCATCTGCTTGGAGATGAAATACAGCAGCACCTGGTCCCGCAGCGGAAAGTGCTACGAAAAAATATGGACCACAAATGGTAAGAGATATATATATATATGTTCATGATGGATAAGGATTGTTAATAATGGTTACTGGTGGTAAATGATGGTTAATGATGGTGTATGGTGCTTCATGATGGTTTATGATGGTTTACGAGGATATAATGAGGATATATATATATACATACCTGCATATATACAATTATATACACACTGTATCTATATATATATACTCAGAACCCATAGACTTGGAACGATTCCCGCATCTTTTTCACAAATTCAGGGATTAGTTTGGCTCAAACAAAGTATGGATCGTTTCCGCGCAAATTGTGGATCAACCAATGAGAAAACAAACCATTAAAAAAACAGAGGTTTAGCCAACAAAAATGAGAGTGCAGCCAATAGTAATTTAAGGAGAACTATTTTTTCAAATAGCAATAGTAATAGCAACAGCAATAGTAATTTCAAATATCTTAATAGTAGTAGCAATAGTCATAGTAATGATGATATCAACATCATATCCCAGCATATCATATTGTTGGTTACACCTCACCATATCCCGTTATATAGTTTTGATATCCTCCCAGTATTGGTTTGTGTTCCATTACATCCCAGAAAAGGCTTGATCTATCTTGGTGTATATCCCTGTAATCACAACCACTCCTAGATACACACTGTACTTTTTTGTAGCTGGTCACGTTGTCCGATGTCCGATTTTTTTCGGATATGATGTACTGAAACTAGCCATCCATCCCATGCAATTGACCCATGATGACGATGCTAAAATCCCCAGTTAATCAACGATTATAAGCCATGAACAAAATACCCTGGTTGATTGGTTACTATATATAGGGACTTATACCACCTAATTTACTGGGGATTGTGATAACATATCATAACCCATAGCAGGGAAGCCTATCAACCAACTAGTATAATGAGATGGGAGGTATTTTGAATGGCTCAATGATATATATCCCCCGTTGCTGGTAGATCCTCGACATCCCCATAACATATGCATACATATGCCCTCCGGACCGAAAAAAAATGAAAAAACAATCTCTGTCCTTTCAACACCTCCCATTCCTAGATATTTGTTGGATAAATCCATATTGCTTCAGATCCCAATTGTTCTTCGTTCAGTCGCCATGTTTCTTGCTTAGATCCCCTAAGTTTTTCGTGGTGACTTCTAAGATTCGAATCTCCTGGTGAAATCAGCATTTTTTGCTGCTTGAAACCCAATTGTTCATCCCAATTGTTCCTCAAACCCCCGCCTTGCCCATCACCATGGGGTCGCGTGCAGAGGCCACAATCATATGCCCACGAGGGCTACTGCGACAGGTCACCACACCAATGGGAGGCACTTTGGCCTCGCCTGCGCACGGCGTGGGTTTTTGGAAAGAATAGTTATACCCTCTGGTAAACTAACATAGCTATTGAAAATGCCCATTTATAGTGGATTTTCCCATTAATAATGGTGATTTTCCATAGCTATGTTAAATTACCAGAGGGTATCCAGTAAGATATGGAGAATGGTAAAGAAACAATAGGTAAGAATTAAGCTTCCCACTAACATGATGTCACCTGGCCAAACATCTAGATTTTTTTTCATGATTGATATTAAGGGAGATTTAAAAAAAGGGAGATTTAACATGATTTAACCATCAACAAAAATCGGGATTTCCATGGGATTTCAAGATGCCCCAGAGAAAAAAAATCGTTGATGGGGATTGGGGGGCACCCCTCTGTTGGTGAAGCCGTAAGCCAACCACGTTTGGTAAAATTGAGGAATTGATGGTGAAATGGGATCGTATTATCCCTTGATTATCCCATTTTTCCATAGTAATACTTGCCATTTGATGACAATCATAATTGTGAAATTATCCCATTAAAAAACAAGAAGTCGTACCATTTATTCTATCCCATTTTTTTCATAATCTTAGTAAAGCAACAATAAACCAGCCATATTGTGATAGATATATTATATCATCTATGGCTATCTATGGTAAAATTGGGAATCCAGATATGTTCTGTTGGCAAACACCATTGAATCCCATTAAAATCCATTTACATGCCAATCACCATTGATATACCATGGTCTACTTTAAGGCTTTAACTACTTGCATTGTCGAAGTGTTTACAGCAGAAAATACAGGGGCTGAGGATTGATGTAATTGATGTGATTGATCAGAGTGGATCTCTTAGCCTCTGGTAAACGTTTACAAAAAGCTATGGAAAATCACCATTAATGGGTAAAATCAACGTTCAATAGCTATGGAAAATCACCATGCTATTAATGGGTAAATCAACTTTTTCGACTGGGCCATTTTCAATAGCAAACTCTTAAATTACCAGAGAGTAGTATGATTTCCCCTTAGCTATCATTGTCTAGAAAGCTCCAACTGGGTCGAAATTTTGGAAAGATGGATACCCCAACTGGCTCCCTCCAAACCACCGGATAGTCATGCTTCAAATATGTCCAAAACCTCAAGGGTACCATAAGGTTGGGAAAATGTTGGTACAATGTTGGGAAATTTCTGAGTAAATGTTGGTAAAATGGGTACATAACCAACATTAACCAACATTTATAAAATCACGAGATTGAACCATCTGAAAGTAACATGATTTAACCATGTAAAATTCTGGTGTAACCATGTTTTATTCGGAAATGTGTTTTGCTTCAGAAACTCATGGTGATCCAAGACATTGGATGGTACAATCTGATCCCATAGAAAAAATCCTCCCGAAAAAAGTGCGTGAAATCGAAATATAATGATTTATGTTGTACAAGTAGTGTTCTAATGGAATCGTATGAACTTAATTAATGATGATGATTCGCTGACTTAGGTAGAATCGGATAGCTATATAGCAAACAACCTCAAATTGAATTGATTTCCATGCTTCTCCATGGTAATATATATCGACGATATCATGAAATTGTTGGAAAATACGTTTCTTTGACATCAAACTTACCGGGTTCAAGATGAGTTTTCGGATCTAAACAGATCCGACCTGTAGATACATGGGGATTTCCATAGTCATGGGGATACCCCAATAGTCGGATGGTTTATTTCATGGAAAATCCTATTAAAATGGATGATTTAATAGGATTTTCCATTATAAACCATCCATTTTGGGATCCCCCAAATCATCCACTTTAATAGGATTTTCCATGAAATAAACCATCCATTTTGGGGTATCTGGATGATTTAGGGGTGCCCCCATTTCAGGAAACCCCCACATTTGTGCCATAAATCCTAGTTACAAAGGCACAGTATGGCACAGTCCAGCCGTGAATCCTTGCGCACTCCTTCCCACGGAAATAAAATGAATCAGTTGGGATGATTATTCCATTCCCAACTGAATGGAAAATCATAAAATTCCATGGTTCCAAACCACCAACCAGATGAGAAGATATGAAATTTCATGGAAGAACATGTGGTATGATGAGGATTTCATGGTATATTTCATGGAAATACTGGGAATAACATCGGGCAATTTCTTGCCGTGTGCAATGGTATAGCCCATTGAGTGCGATGGATATTGCAGCTAGAATGCTGACAAATTTGAGCCACCATCTTTGGCGGAAGAATACAAGAGGCAAAAAATAAGCTTACATAGTTTGCCAACAATAAACGGCTCATCTGCAGTAAAAATATGTTGAAAACAGCAGAACCTGTTGGTTGCCTATTCTAAGCCTAAGCATTGGCAACATCCGCACACAACGCAGCGGTGGGCAGCAAGCTTCTGCACCGCTGTTTTTTCGCTTCTTTGGAATTCTCCTGTTCAGCAGGTGCGGCCACTGCTCAGCAGGTGCGGAAGCTGCTTAGCGGCCTAGCATCGAGCGCAAGAAAACGACAGTTCTTCATGATCAACCCCTTCGATTCTGAATCCAAGACAGACTACGAAATGGATGGCACAACATCACAGAAGTTCTCAAATTTGGGTTCTGAAGGATTCTAAAAGCTTGGGGGTGATCTGCGATTTGTGCAATTGGATCCAAAAAAATGGCCTGCTGTGCTTCGCATCAGCTACCAAGTCGGCGGCTCCGACTTCTGTTCATGACGAATGGAGGTCGTTAGCCACCGCGAGTTTTGAATACAATTCCTTAAAGCCATATGCTTCCTGGCTCACTTTGAGATCTCTGAGATTGACTGGAATCGACCGGGTCACCACGATTGTGAGGAGGTGTGTGGAGACCGTGGCTGGTCGCCGAAGCCATGTGTAAATCGAGCGTCATCCTCGCCATCATCTCCTCCAACTTGCGAAGTTGGTTCACCATCATGATTTGCATCGCGATCCCTGAGTCCAGCCTCGTGTTTTGCGGGGGGGTGCCACATGCTGATGCCATAGATGCCACCGATGACACCGGTGGCACTGATGCCTTCTTCGCCTGGGGGATTGACCTGAGTTCATGCTGCCCATGGGCGAAGTTGCAGGCTTGGCCTTTTTGGCAACGCCCTGTCTTCCCATACTCGTAACAAAGACCTGTTGCTTGAAGACTTGGCTTTTCACAAAGCTCACTCTCCGAGTGTGCAAAGGGGCACCCCATGCCATTGAAGCACTTGCGTGAGCCCCAGTACCTGCAATGAAACAATCACAGAGTCTTACATCTTGCAGTGGAAACTCACGCAACCCATTGAAACAGAATACCACCAAACATGGCATTTTAATAAGATGATGAATCATTCGATTGCGGCGTAGCTATTTTCAGACAAAACCACATAACAAAATACCCAGGCACTAATTTTGTTGCTTTGATATCCAGCATCTTCGTTGGTTAGACCTCTTCAACCCCTATTCTTGTTGGCTAAATCAGTAAAATGCCAATTCATCAGATTTTCCGTAAGAGAAGCATCATCCCCTGGTATACATCCTGGTACTTTGTTGAATATAGACAATCCTCCATTTCGAGATAACTGTCCCACCATGTCCCAGCTATAGATCTCCAGTTACTTCATCTACTTCCAGGATCTCCCATGTTTGAAAACTCAACCCAGGCACTTACACATCCGTGTGAACTTCAAAGCCTCCCGGGTTTCCTCCGTAGTCATTGGAACACGAAGACGCCACAGACCCCAACAGCACCGACCAAGAACCAGACCCAATGGCTGCGGCAGAGAAAAATCACACCAACTCAATGGTCATTCCGGGCCCCGGGGAGGTACCTACCAGAAGGTCTATGTATTTTTATCTATTTTTCAGGGATGAATTTCAGGGAATCTCCCCAGGAATCACTGAAGCAGCCTGATTTTGTTGGCCCTTGCTATTTTCAGGTCACATTCTGAATCACCGAACAGCCGGGCTGGTCGTCCCCTGACACAACGGGAGAGTTCTGTGACCGGTTCAAGGTCCCAAAAATGCAAAAAGGTCCAAGTCCACTTTGCCAGTGATAAAAGCATGAAAGAAGCATCTGTTCATATATTGTGTATATCATATCGCTCACATGTCCCAAAAAAAAACATTTAAGTGACCATTTTTCCAAGATTTTCTCACCTTCTTTGGCTCGATGTTTGATGTTTGGGGCTGGATCTGTGAAGTCCCGAAAACGGTTGATCAACGGGACATTGTCCGCTTGGATTTCCAAAAATCAAAGAAAAACCAGAGAAAAAATGGTCCAAATTAAACAGGATCTTCTGATTCTCGACCTAAGATTTTTTAAGAACTCGTTCGATTTTAGAATAATTTCTTGAAGTGTGATGGGGATGCAACATGTGGAGATCATCGCTGATGGTTTCATCCAATAGTATGTTCATCAACTGTTTTGATACAAATACATGATATGATATACATTCCATTCGGGAGACAGAAGAAGCAGGGTTACAAGCTGCGAAAATGGAATGAATTCGGCATGATCTCCCCAGCGGTGATGTAACAATGTCACATCATCTTTATCCCACCCAATCTTGACTGGTTGGTGGTTGACCTACCCCTCCGAAAAATATGAGTTCGTCAATGGGAAGGATGACATCCCATATATGAAATGGGAAAAAATGTTTGAAACCACCAACCAGTTGATAATGAATCTTGGAAGTGTCATCTTTGACTCCTCGATTTATCGAGGGTTTTTGTTACTCGATAACTCCTGGTGAATCCCTGCGGCCCCACCGTCATATGTCCAGAGATGATGGTAGCTCTTTGCCACGCTCTCTTCTTTCAACTTCAACACCGCCCCTGCCGACTTCAGGCTGAAGACATCTGTGTGTCTGATGATTGGGGGATAGGCTGCTGATTTACACTTTGAATGGGGCATATGATGATTTTCGAAACCACTAGATGAAATGGGGTGCCCCTCATGTGCACATTGCCCGCAGTTTTCAACATCTCCACCGTGGAACATCCCAGATCCCATAGATTTCACCATCGGCAGGACCCACCCACGACAGGTCGGCAAGGTCAGTGGAAGCCGCCTGATGGGGTCACTGCTTCGATCTGGGAATGCATCTTTCCAGACTCCTCCAGGGGTCATCTTTCCGCGGGTATCAGCCATCAGATTTGGGTGGCCATGGAGGTTTCTTCAGCCGGACCCCAGTGTAATCGAAGTTCTTCATCGTTTCAAAAAGGAAACCAATGGTGACAAGGGGGTTCCCATTTAAGAACCCCCCTTTCTACGGATTTCTCTGGGCTAAAATCAGGATTTCGTCAAAGATGGAGACTTCATGGGTGCCGGCAAACATGGGGGAGGTTGCCAGGAAAAAATCGGGCACGAGGAAACATGGGTAATGTCACCAGCAAAACCTACGTCTAGTTTTGTTGATCGCTAATGCAAGATACCCTCTAGTAAACTCACAAAGCAATGGAAGATCAGCATTTAAATAACAGATCAACGAACTAAGGCAATTTTCAACAGCAAACTGTCAAATGACCAAAGGGTAACCCTAAATAAACATAAATAAACCATAGAATCATCATATCTCAGAGGATCATCCCACAAATTGTCATTAATGAACCCATATGATATCCATATAGACTCATCATGCCAACCCATAACAATGGAATCATGATGGATAACCATAGATAATAGATAACCCTAGATAATCATAGGTACCATTAGACAGCCACATTTAACATCATTCAACCATATAGGAACCATAGCAAAACCATCGAAAACAAAAAAAACTGGAAAATCATAGAAGAACCATAGAAGAGCCACGGAAAAAAAAAAACATCGAACAACCATCCAAAAAGCATAGAAAACCATTTAAAAACCCGTAGAAAACCCATAGATAACCCCATCTCTTTGCCCTTAACTCAGCCCTTTTTCTGCGCCGTCACTTTGCCAGGCTCGGAGGACCGCTTTCCTATCGCCGAGCAGTGCGTGTGCCAGGCTCAAAGTGCAAGCGGAGAAATTTCACACCAAAATGGAATGATTTCTATGGGATTTTATAGGATTCTATTTTTATGGAGATTTACAGGAATATGATGGGAGTACAATGGGCTTACAATGGGGATATACAGTAATGGGAGTTTAGCCTCTGGTCAACATACAAAAAGCATCCAAAAGCTTTGAAACATCACCATGTTTAAGAGATTTAAAGAGGTAAATCATCTAAAAACATGGGCCATTTTCCAGTTCGCAAACTGTGAGTTTACCGGAGGCTTTTTGACAAATTCAGGCCTTAAATCCCCATTGGAAATTCTTCTCCGCATGAGATTTAGTTCATAGATGTTCATACAGGATGATGCCCCCCAGTTATAAGTCGGTTTATAAACCCCATTAACTAGTTCGTTATATCTACCATAAACCATAGAATTCACCAAGTTATGTGCGTCAACTTAGCGTGAACAGCTCACTGGGGCACCACCTGGTATCAATGGAATTGGGGGATCTTCCCCGGGGATTCGAACAAAAGGCATGGCGGTTTTGAGCCCTACCCCGAAAAATATGACTTCGTCAGTTGGGATGATGACATTCTTAATATGATGGGAAAAATAAAAAAAATTGTCCAAATTACCAACCAGTGTTCAGATTTTTCTTAGGATCTGGGATTCAATGGAATTCAAGGATGCTACAGTCCAGAGACGTGAATTTCGGGGAGCCAACCCTGAGAGACGGGAGATTTGAGATATGACAGGAGAATGAAACGTGATGGGATAGTCATAGGTATGAGATGGGATTTGAATGGGATGTCAAAAAAAGCTTGTGTGTGTGTGTGTTTAATTTGGTACTAATGGTAAATTAATGGAATCATTTATATGTTTTGGATTTTCTAAATATATTTAGGCAGAAATGTACGGTAGATATGGGGGATTGATATACTGTACAGTACCTAATGTCCCATTAGCATCTTTTATATAAATGTTAATAAGATATGAATGACTGCGCAAAGTCACGAAAATGGTTTTGGCAACCCAACAATATGACATTTGGGTAGTTTGTCTCATAATGGTGGTCTATACCCAACTTATGGCAATTTAAACGGGGATGTGATTGTAAAAAACACGTCTCAACCTTGAGATTTTGGGGTACTCTATTTGAAGACACAACCTACAAGGTATCCCCCTAGTCATAAGTTGGTTTATAATCCCCATTAACTATAGATATAACCTATAAAACCTAGATATTGAACTTATAAACCAACTTAGCTAACTATGGGGCACAACCTTGTACAGATATTTAAAGCCAGCCAGAATCGGTGGGCCCCGTTCCACCAGTGGATCATTCATTTTCCTGGGGTAGATCGCATTTTCAGACACGATTTCTTCCTCCAATAACTAGGCTTTATGGTAGATTCATCATATCTAAATTCGATATATATATATATATACCATATAAATCATATCTGATTAAAGTTCATGGACATAATGATACATTTATATATACACATTATATATTGTGTATATATCTAATATAATATTATATATAATACATATATATATATTATACATATATATTATACATATATATTATACATATATATTATACATATATATTATACATATATATTATACATATATATTATACATATATATTATACATATATATTATACATACATATTATACATATATATTATATATCTTTGTATATAAATATTATATATATATTAAATATAAGTATATATATATATTAAAGTGTACTAATATCATCAAATGATGAGGCCACAAGCATCAAGCACTGGGTGCGATTCGAATTAAATTCGCTGGCCCATCGGGACCATCCCGCGCTCGCCGATGGTACGTGCGGTGGTGCCCCAGTTCGTTAGCTAAGTGGGGTTTATATATAAGGGTTAATGAATGGGGGTTATAAATATAGTTAGCCATGAGGATGAAACAACATGAAACAACCCTAATCAACCATAGTTAGCTAAGTTGGTGCAAATAAGTGCTTTATATCTGTTGGGTTGATGAATGGGGGCTATATCGAACTACGTTCTATGGGGATTTGTTCAATCAACAAACAGAACTGGCGGGGGGGCCACCTTGTAGGATGATCTTTCGCTCATAGTTTGAGGTAAACGATCGGTAGGACACTGTTGGTTGTGCCATCCAGCTATGGGTCCAGCTATGCCCCTTTAAAATGCTGAACCAGAAAAAGAAAAGACCATCTGTGTTCATCCCCGAATCTTCCAAGGATCCTGACTCATATCTGTCACTCGTCATCTTCATGGGAAAATGGCGCCATGAAATCCGACAGACGGGCTTCATCCCCATCGCCGATCTCGGAGAGCGACAAGGACAATCACGACTCTACTGAACCTCTTTGAGGTCGTGCAGCTAACGCGAACGTTGTGGAAGATCGAGGTATCTATCTTATACTGGTTGGTGGTATATAGCTACCCCTCTGAAAAATATGAGTTCGTCAGTTTGGATTATGAAATTCCCAATATATGGAAATAGTATCAGACCTATTTCTTAGGCATAAGGGAACCTCCCAAAAAAATATGGCCTGATTTAAGTGGTCTTCTGGTTTTCCGTGCCTTGTTAGGGTGAAATTTCCACAGAATCAAGCGTAGAGCTGGGGTTGCAGTTCCTGAAAAATGGTGGATGATAGGTGGATCATCTTTTCTGGATGAACCATCCGTAGAAAAAATGGAAAAATGTCTCTTATCTGAGTTTCCTGGGAAAACTAAGTCTGATTCTTCTCTTAATTGATGATCATTGATGATCATCGCCAATGCAACTTTTCGAATCTGGGATCTACTATCCCCATGCGACTCGCGACCTTCAAATCCATATCTTCATTTTAAATCCAACTTTTGAAAGCGGCTCACCAGCCAGACCAATCTTCCTGGCTATGCCCAGTAGATTGCCAAGAATCCTGCGTCCCAGTGGATCTGTGGTCTGGAACTTCTGGAAATCACGATGCTGAAGATGCTGAAATTCTGGTTCTGATATATTTTTTTTGGAGATGGTGAAGCATTTTTGAAGATGCTTTTGTAAACTGTTTCGAAACGGTGTTGAAACTGCTATTTTAAACAGATCGTGCGACTGTTTATAATGTGTGAAACGGTGAAACCTTTTTTTAAAGATGCTCCTTTTTTCAAAGATGCTAGTTTGGTTCTTAAAAATGGGGTGCAGTGAACACAAACTCCAACGATTTATCATCAACATTTAAAAAATGCCATCCTAGGGATATGCTCTCTTTGATTGAACACACACCCGGATTCAAAAAGGAGATAGAGGGGCTGGAATGGATGGCCCATACTGTTCCCAATTCACCATGGTCACAATTCAGATGAGCAAAAAACATATCCCGGCAGATCCAAATTGTACCCTCCAGTAAACTAACAGTGACCGCGAACTGGAAACTGCAGCATTTATAGCTGATTTACCTATTCAAAACACGTGATTTTCCAGAGCTATGGTCAGTTTACCCGAGGCTCGCCATTGTCAGTGATTGAAATCTCGTGTTTCTGGGCTTGGAAATTTTGCCCATCGACCACGACCAGGGGGGATCAACAATCACCCATGTCTTGTCAAACAAAATGCAAAACAGATTCAAGTTTTAAGTTTGTACCCTATTTTCAGTCACTTTTGTTTCCATTCTGCAGCTGTTAAGGAAATCCTTGTGCTGACATGCAAAATCAAAAAACACTACCGGACAGGTTGGTAATCCGGAAGAAAAAAAACACCATTTTCAGTCAAACCCATATTTACATTAGCTAAGACTGAGTTGACTGAAATATGAATGAATTATTTTTATCATATCAACTACAATTCTGGATTTAAGTGTCAAACAATGCTTAGCATGTTCAGCATAGGAAAGTACCTTCCGATTGTTTTTCAGATAGCTATGGAAAATGGCATTCAAAGATGATTTAGCCATTAAGAATGTTGCTTTTCCATAGCAAACTCTTCAATTTCCAAAGGGTATCAACACAAAAAACATGACTGAACATAACTTTAAAAAAAGAAAACATGTTCCATGGATTTCCATGGTTTATAGGTTTTCTTCCCAAACAACCTTTTAAGCAACATCCTTGCAGCACCTTTTCAGTCGAACCGAACCCGTCTCCCAGTCCTGAACGGCCTGCAATCGTTGAAGCAGCAATTCCTGGACCGCCACGGGCGCCTTTCCGTAGGCCGCGTGCTGCTGCGCGCTGTGCGCGTGGCGTGGGGGTGTATGCTCTGCGGTCACGGCGCCCTCCATCAAACGCGCATCCAGTTCGTGACATCCTGGGTAAAGCCATGGGAAAAGATGGACAAATCCTGGGAAAATCATGTGAACATATCGGAACATGGCGATTTCACCAGCAAAATTTTGTGGTGAATTATATGGATTTAGAGTTGATGGATGATAGCTAGGCAGCTAGGCCACATAACTTGATGAACAGTTGGGGTGCTAAGGGGGATAGAACTCACTTACAACCTGGGGGGCCCAAGATAATGGGGATGTAAAATATGCAGTAGCAGGGATGTAATTAATAATGGAAATGGAGAGTTCAATGACTAGTTCAATGGATTGTTTTTTGTTGAAATAATATACCGGATTTTGACAGGGCTAGTATTCTATAAAGTTTCGGACAGGGATTTAATCATTCAATATACCCTCTGGTAATTTAACATAGCTATTGAACGTGGCCGTAGAAATAGTTGATTTACCCATTGAAAATGGTGAATTTCCATAGTTTTCTGTAAATGTTTACCAGAGGGTAGTGGGTGTAACAGGTGTTAATAGCGGATATCTACTTGAAGGATCACCCCCCAGAGTTTCTGTTGGTCAAATCCTTATTTCTGGTAACCGCTCCCCCTTAGTGATTTCTATTTGGAAAATCATATCACACCATTTCAGAGGCTTAAGCTTTAAACCAATGAAATATCAATATTGATAGAATTGCTATTTGATTCAAAATGATATCTGACCGGTTTACGGGGGATATCAATATGGTTTTGCTATAGAATATACAATATTTACCATTTTTTTTCTTGTTGGTTTGGTTCTGTATCCCCCATAAAAATCTCCCATGAACATATCCACCAACGAATACAAATTGTGCCACAGTCTTCCAACGCATATGCCGTTAATCTATGTTAATATCGCTGAAAAATCCCATGTTTACCATGATTTTTTTCATCCTACGGAATCCCCCGAAAAAGTCGTCGGTGAGTTTAGACCCCCATGTCGGGTGATTTTTCCATGTTGGTTAAATCCACCCTTTTCTCCCAATATGTCTCCGTAAAAAATATCATGTATCCATCATAGTCCACTCACATATATATAGAATATCCAATGAATCCAATGTCAAAAGATATCCCATATCCAATGTAAAGAATAATTCCCAGAAAGATATCCCATGTCAAAATGTCACATCCCAAAACTCATATCCCATATCCAATTTCTACAAATTCCCACAAGTTTATCAAAGACCAGCTCCATTATTCCACTAACATCCGTTAAACACATATTCAAAAATTACAACTTCTCCAAGTCCACCAATTCCACAGGAAATGCTTGGTTTAGTCCACAAATTGCTGAAGTATCCCAATGTTTTATTTTGTTGAGTTATCTCCAAGCATCCTATGGTTTATCATCATTTTCCACATTTAAGTCACTATTTTCGTGGTGTACCCGATTCTTGAGACATACCCATATATGATATTCCTCAAACTGTTGGCAATATATCCCCATCAGTATCCTGATTGCATCCCCATTAATGTCTCATGAACTCAAAAATATTTACTCATTGGTGGTTTCAACCCCCCTGAAAAATATTAGTCAGATTGGATCATCATCCCAACTCTTGGGGAAAATAAAAGCCATGTTCCAGTCACCACCAACCAGATATATATAGTTATTCCAATTATTAACCATCGATTAACCATAGATTAACCATCGATTAACCATAGATTAACCATAGATTAACCATAGATTAACCATAGATTAACCAAGCATCTCCCGTTATCAGCTTATTGTTGATCGTATCCCACTAGTGTCCCATTAACATGCCTCTGTTTGATCTTGAATCACCATGTTTTCTGGTTCAATCACCATCCATGTTTGATGTCTACAACACCGTTTTTGGATTGGTCAATCACCCTTTTTGATGGTTAAAACACCGTTTTTGCTGGATAAAATAATATGCAAAACATCATGTTGTTGGTTGTATATCCCATGATATTCCTATTACCCCCATTCTTGTTGGTTAAATTCCTGACTATATTCCTGACTATATTCCTGACTATATTCCCAGTATTCTCCGTGAAAATCCATGAATATCCCAATCACATCCCTTTGTTTGATGTTTAAACCACCATTTGAGATTAAATCACCATCTTTGATGGTGAAAAGTGAACACATGGGTTTTTTTCCTGATTAAATCAGGATTTGTTGCTTAAATCACCAAGGTCTTGGATACTTCAAAGCCTGGAATCTTCATCTTAAATCCGCAATTTTTGATGGTTGAAACTTTCACCCATTTTTTGGGTGAAACCACCCAATAACAGGCAATATAAACATTGAAATTTATAGAAACCATTAGAAGATATCAGAAATCCCAGTAAAATACTGGATGTTTAATTACACTTTTTATCCCCACTAAAATCCCAGTAGAATCCGATAAATATATATATATATAAATATCATTAAAAAAATGTCATCCAGGCAACTCCTCTCCAAGTCTTCGCACTTCGACTTCAGTTCCTCCGCCTGTTTCTTCATGGCCAGTGAGGTGCGAACCAAGCCCTCGGCGGCGTCTTCATTGAAGCGGTCCAAGCGGAAGGCGTGGAGATAACTGGGCCGACAGACGCGGCGGCGTTTTTGGCCCGGGGAGGGACAACAAAGGGTGGAGTTTCCTGGGGAAATTGGGTGTTGTTGGACCATTTTCATGTCATATACAGAAGTTTTTGCAAAATAGTTCTAAATTGTTGCAGATTCCAGAATTGGTTGGTGTAAGAACGGGATTCCCATTCATGGATTCTGAGATTCTCCAATATATTGCTTTGTATGATCCCTGAACTCATCAACCAACCATCATTTCTCAACTATTTCATTTCACAATATGTTTGATGGTTACCCCCCCCTCATATTTGGTGTCTTTTTTCCCCCAACTATCAACCCACTGATATGTCCATCATATGTCCATGATCTTCTAGCCCTGGTCGGTTGATATTCCCACAGCGTCCTTAAGGTTGGTATCCCCGAAACAATCATCGACCATCATTTCTCACCGTATCTGGTTGGTGGTGCAATACCCATCTTGAAAAATATAAGTTCGTCAATGGGAAGGATTATCCCATATCTAAAATGGAAAATAAAAAATCTGTGAAACCACAAACCAGATATCCAATGAAATCCCGAAACACCCTCCGGTAATTTAAGATAGCTATTGAAAATCACACAGTTTAATACATAAATCATCGAACTAAATGGAAGTTTTCCCATGTTAAATTACCAAAGGGTAATAATCAACCAACCATCAATTATTCAGTTATACATATATAGCCACTTATATCCCAATGTTTTGCTGGTTAAAATCACATCATCATGAAACCCCTACCATCAACCATTATTTATCAGTTCCCTATGATGGTTAAAACCCATGCTGTGTTTAAGATCAAGTTTTTTTTCCATCATATTTCCCTCATGAAATCCCCAACCAACCATCCAACCATTTCTCGCCACCTTTGTTAGGCGACCCTTAATTGGATTTCATGATGATATGGATTTAAATCAGCAAAACATGGGGATATAAGTGGCTATATATAAACCATATCTTGAAAAAACATGTTCCAATCATAAAACCCTAACCCTAAACCCTCACCAAGCGACGCATATTGGGCTTCCATGTCTTTTCCTTTGGCTCCATAAGCCTTGGCGGCCTTCACCGCCACACGTGCGCCGTCCCTATGCCGTTCATTGCTCAACCTGAACATTCAGCCACAACCACAACAAAAGGTGGACATTTCTGGGAGTTCAGTGAAGATTTTTATGACATTTTATGATATTTATCGGATTCTACTGGGATTCTACTGGGATTCTACTGGGATTTTAGTGGGATTTTAGTGGGGATTTAGTGTAAACATCCAGTATTTTACTGGGATTTTATGATGTTTCTATCTTTTGGTGTGCTGCTATAATAGATGTGTGTGTGGCGTATAAATATATGACTATAATTACATAATATATATATATGTATTTATTTATTATATACATACATACATAGAGAGAGAGCGAGAGAGAAACCTGCGGATATATATATATATACGTATATATACATACGTTTTATGTTGCATATCATTTGTAGATATACACTCATATAAATCGCCAAAATCCAAATCTTCAAAAATATTAATCCCCATCCTAACATTTTTGTAGGTTTACACATCTCCAAATATGATATAACGTGGTAAACAATGACTTGAACCTACCATTTGGTTAAAATGGGGGACATTAGCTGACATCAATTGGGAAAACCTTGGCTGCGTCGTTGAGTACTTTCATAATCTTTCATATATTCTAATGGTTTCTATAAATTTCAATGTATATTACCTGTTATTGCCCAGCTGAGAAGATATGTTTGTGCAGGGTATCTAAGATTGGCCATGGTTAAAAATGTGGTAATAGCAGAGATCCTGCACTTGTGACCGAATATAATGCATGGCAAGTCCAATTATGTAAAATTTGGGATGATTTATGGCAGCCAAGGTTTCCCAAACCAGTGACTTACCTTCAAATTCCTCTTCATGTATACAAATCCCCGTATTAGCATATATATATATAATATATATATATATATATACATGTTTGGTATACATCATAATTATGTGCATAATCATTTATATATATATATATATCTAGGATCTGGAATTCGTACATGTGAAGACGAGGAATTTGATTCTCAGTCACTAATGTGGGAAACTCTATTATATATAATATATATATATGTATGTATCCACTTACATTATATATCCCCCTTGCAATTTGGGGGGGTTGCTGGGACCCCCGATTCAGTAGAGGGCCCCAAGGTCAGGCACCAAGAAAATCTTTACTAAATCAATCTCTGCTCTCCAGAGTAGGGTGTTACCTTCTACAAAATCAAGAACCTTCCACAGAAAAAATATCTGACAAGGCAAATTCATGTTTTCTACAAAATCAATAACCTCGCATTTGAAAGCATAAAAAAAAACGCGTTTTGAGTAAAAACCTCCAAGATGATTCTGTGAAGACTTGTGTTAGAGTCGATTCTGTAGAGATGTTTTGTTTGTCTTTGATTTTGTAGCATGAATGTGTTTACAAATTTTACAAGTTTTACAAGTCCCATCCAAAGTCCCAAAGTGCCTGTCTTTGATTTTGTAGCATGAATGTGCTTACAAGTTTTACAAGTTTTACAAGTCCCATCCAAAGTTCCAAGTGCGTGTCTTTGATTTTGTAGCATGAATGTGCTGACAAGTTTTACAAGATTTTACAAGTCCCATCCAAAGTCCCAAGTGCCTGTCTTTGATTTTGTAGCATGAATGTGCTGACAAGTTTTACAAGATTTTACAAGTCCCATCCAAAGTCCCAAGTGCCTGTCTTTGAATTTGTAGCATGAATGTGCTGACAAGTTTTACAAGATTTTACAAGTCCCTCCAAAGTTCCAAGTGCGTGTCTTTGATTTTGTAGCATGAGTTTGTTTACAAGGTTCACAAGTCAGTCCAAAATGTCCCAAATGGCCACCCTTCCCAAAATGTAAGGTTTTGTGCACTTTTTGCTCAACGTTGGGGCCCCCATTGGCCTCCATTTACAGAATCAGGGACCTACCAAGATACACTCCAAAAATGTCCAAAATGGGTGGTTTTTGGGTCTTTGCCAGCCCATGGTCCTTGATTTTGTAGCAAAGTAGGGGTGCAGGCTGGCTCTCCAGAATCGAAGGTTTTTGGGGTGCCAGCCCAACCCCTTTCCAGTAGAGGAAACTGCCAGCCCAACATCTTACACTCATATGTTAAATAGTTTTAATTGCCCTCTGGTAATTTACCATAGCTATTAAAAATGACCATAGAAATAGTGGATTTGCCCATTAAAAATGGTGCTTTTCCATAGCTTTTGGTATTTTTACCACAAGACCTATATCTCCAAGGCACTGATCTGCAAGTAGGAGCAACTCATCGGGCGAGAGATGCTGGAAAACACCTGGCTTTGGGATCGGAAAATTCCGCTGGAATTTCATGAGAACCAGCAGAAAAAGGGATGTTGAACTAACAGAAATACCCTCTGGTAAACGTTTACATAACTATGGAAGATCACCATTTTTAATGGGTAAATCCACTATAAATAGCCATTTTCAATAGCTATGTTAAATTACCAGAGGGTAACAGAAATAGGCTGTTTAACCAGAGATCAGATTCCAAGCAACAGAAAAAAATCACGTCGTGAACCAATAGAAATAGAGGCTGGGATTTGACCCACAAAAATTCGGATCTAGACAACAGAACATTGTGTGCTTAACCAAATGTTGAATTTATCCAACACTGATTGGGATTCAGTCAAAAAAAAGGAATTCACTAGCAATGTTGGGACCTACGTACGGATTCTAACAGGAAAAGTCATGATTTAATCCAGTTCGATGCGTGTTTACGAACAAACAGTGGTTGTTGATTTCAACAACCAAAATGGTGGTGTGAAAAACAAGAATTGGGCGCTTACCAACAAAAATGTGGATTAAACAAAATGAGGTTTTCACGGAGAGAAATGATCATGTAAGCACGAAAAAAGAATACACAGAAAAAAAGGAACTGAGCAAAGCAGGATTTACCGTATATCGCAACACTCTTTTGGCATTTGACTAGCAAAATAATGATCTGGCTACAAAAAAATCGGATTTTATCAGCCAAATTACAGTAGGGAAAAACTGCAATGAGGTTGGCTTGTGACAGTCACCCAATGAGTTGCTCGAAATGAAAAGATTCAAAACTGACAAGAAATTGCAGTTATATATACTGTATTGTTCCCTGGATATGTTTAATTCCAATCAAAATTTGCTGTGGCATAAAAACAATGTGAGTCGGAGTGTACAAAGCATGCCTGGGAAGAAACTGAATCATTTTAATTACAATCACCAATTGAAAACAACAGTGAACTATATCGATCTGTATGTCATCATTACAGTTACCTACTTGCTGGGAACATGCTCCCTCTGGTCACGGCCAAGCATTGGAAAAGCAGTCTGTCACAGCTCCCACGAAATATGAAAACGAAACGGTGGCACCACTTAGGGTCTCCGAAATGGCCCGAAACACCGCAAGATTCTCAAGCTTCTACGTCTGTTCTTGTTTGTTTTTCCTTCATAAATTCATAAATGTCATAAATCTGGATTGGCATCAAAAAGATATTCACTGAATAGTTCAGCCATTTTGGGAAAGTTCCCCCAATCCAATTCCATCATTTCTTCAAGGCCGTGACCTTTCTCCAGTGTCAGTTTGGGCAGAATGTCCTGAGACTCGACCCGGCCGGAAATTCAGCCTTTGAAGAAATATGGAAAAGAGGTAGACAGTAGGGAAAATTGTAAGATGAACAGCCATACACCATCTGCATCCACATATGTATATATATATATGTATATATATATATACAGTTTGTAATATATAGAATCTCTATAACCAGGTTCCTTCTTGTTCTTGACGGGTTGAAGCAACCTTGATTGGAAGACCGTTCAAAAATCATCCGAAGATCTTGGAAACCCCTCGTTTGATGACCGGAGTAGCGCAGGGTACCCAGATCACTTCGAACTGCCCACGGAACTGGCTGGTTTCACCAAGGATCATTGGGAATCTGCTGGCGTTCCTCCAGGATCAATTTCCTTGGCAAAAATGGAGACCATGGACCATCCCAGTCTGGGAATCAAGGTGGAATCCACCCCGAAGCCGCTTCACCCACTCTTTGCATTAATGTTGTAGGTTTTGTAAGTCCCAAAAAAACCCAAAAACTCATGGGTTTACCATGGTTTACCCAAATTTAGAGCAATGATTGGTCACTATCGGACAATTCTATTTCAAAACCCTTCATTTTTGTGGCTAATGTTGCATGCGCTGTCCTGATTTTGCTGGGTAGTGGGTAGGTTCATATTCCACCAAAAAAAGCCAACTAACCCAGCATATAACCCCAATAGCCCAATAGCAAAGTTTTGCGTTTTCTTTGGCGCCAATTTGGCACCGACAAGTGAGCCAGCTTAGTCAAAAAAAACAGTCCCTCAATACCACCAAGACACCACCGGAACACCGCCAAGACACCATAGAGTAAACTCGCATGCAGAAATGAAATAGGCGAAAATTAGAAACTGTGAGGCAGCACCAAAAAACCACGGGGATTACCACCAAGTCACACCAAGGCACCATTGAGACACCCATTGAGACACGACCAGCCCACCGGGAACTCGACGGCAACATTGAAAACAAAACTTAAACCACACTAAGATACCCTTGACAAGTCTGTTTACCACGTCATTGTGGTGGGTTGTGCCTATTTATTATCCTATTGCATGATACGAATTTTCCAAAATGTTGATCTTCACTTCCCGTGTAGCAACAGAAACATGGCCAACCTGGAGTCCCTGCAATAAAAACCATTGTTTGGCTGGGTAATCAAACATGGTTTGCTCGAAAATCGTTCACTGATTTTCCCGTTTAGAAACTGAAAATGGCTATTTCGGGGATGTTATTGAGCCAACCCCCAAGAGTAAACCATCCCCAAATATCGACCATTTGGTGAATGATAGTAAACATCATTCGATGCCGCCAAGTGGAGGTGGTAAAAATGGTGGGATGGCTGGCTTTCCTTTAGCTACTTAGCTTAATATCCCCACTATTCGTTGACATCGTCCATTAGAAAGTAGGAATCATGGCAAACTCTGAGATCTGCAAAAAGATCATTTGGTTGGCTGGCTGGGACAGTGTATCCCCAGTTTTTTCTTACTAAAAACACATCCAATCTTCCCCAGAACTCTTGGTGGATTCTTAAATGATTCCTGCTTTCTTCCGCTAAGCTCGTTTGACTTTTAGTGGCTGATGTGGGAAATCCAACTAAACCAAACGATACAACCAAACATCTAGGTATAGGGGTATGATTGGTATAATCAATGGAGAATTCCAATTGATTCCAAACCCCATTCCCATTATATCCCAAATATCATCCCTGTACTTGATATATTGCTACCCAAATCACCAGGTGGCCCCAGTTTTTGATGGTAAATACCGATCATTAGTTTGTATCAAAGGATATAATCATCACCAAGGTACTTCGACGATAACACCCCTATCCTTCTTGGTAAATCCTGATATGTTCAACTCAGAAATGTTGGTCTTCGAATTGTTCATTCTACAAAATATCACGGTGATTATCCTTATTAAACCATAAAACTCAGAAATGTGGGTCTTCGAATTGTTCATTCTACAAAATATCACATGATTATCCTTATTAAACCTAATAAAACTCAGAAATGTTGGTCTTCGTGTTCATTCTACAACATATCACATGATTATCCTTATAAAACCTAATAAAACTCAGAAATGTGGGTCTTCGAATTGTTCATTCTACAAAATATCACATGATTATCCTTGTAAAACCTAATAAAACTCAGAAATGTGGGTCTTCGAATTCTTCATTCTACAAAATATCACATGATTATCCTTATAAAACCTAATAAAACTCAGAAATGTGGGTCTTCGAATTCTTCATTCTACAAAAATATCACATGATTATCCTTATTAATACCTATAGATACCATTTTTAATGGGTTATTCACATCCATAAATCCATAGATTTCACCAGGTTTTGACACACGGCCACGGTGATTTCCTTCAGCCACCAGGGGTCAGGAACAGACCCTCCGCAGGCCCTCGTTGCTCCCGGGTTGACTCTGCCTGACCTGGTGGAAGGGAAGGTCACAGCTACCCGGCCTGGTAAACGTTAACAAAAAACTATGGAAAATCACCATTTTTAATGGGAAAACTCACTATTTCCATGGCCAGAGGGTAAGAACAATAGTGGATGATAAATAGATATTTAATGTGGTTAAAACATGTTAAAACAATAATAAACATCTCCTGGTGTTGGTCAGTTTCAAAAGCCATGGCCATTTCCAAACCTGCAAAAACCTGCAAATCTGGGTCAAATCTGTGGTTAAAACAATAAACTACCCATTTTCCTGGGAATGGTAAACATACCACCCAACAAAAAATGGAGAATTGGGGGATGGTTTATGGCATTGTTTTAACCACATTAGTCATATTTCATCCCAGTGTTCTAGCGTTCTAGTTCTCATTTCTCCAGTCTATCCTAATAGGTGATAATGATATTTCATCCAAATATGATTATCCTGATAAATGATCATTATAGAGGATACTTAATGATAATATGTTTAGTTCATCTTCAAAAAATAGTGGAAACTAATTATGATAATAATAGTTAATAGTTCATCCCAGTGTTCTAGTTCTAAAACATCCCGTAGTTTCAGTCAGTGGATAAAATAGAGAACAATGTTGGATTGATCATGATAATAATCATAACCATAGTGATACATATCATATACTCAATGTTAAAGTAGTTATCAAACAGTTACTGGTTGGTGGTATACCTACCCCTCTGAAAAATATGAAAGTCAGTTAGGATTATTATTCCCACTATATGGAAAAATAAAGTAGTTATCAAACAGTTATATATAGAACATCCAAATATGAAATAGCTATCACGAGTTGTCCAGACAGGTACCCTCCTTGGACCTAGCCCGGTACAGCCCCAGCGGCTGTCAAAGCGGGAGATCTTCCCATGCAGCTGTTGGATTAAAGCCGCTCGCACCTGTGAATCCTGAGGAGAAGGAACAGAGGACGAGGAAAGGAAAATGAGCAAAAGAAAGAAAGAATGAAAGAGGAAAGACAGAGGACAGAAAAAGGAAAGAAGGCGGAAGAGGAATTCCCCATGGCTGATATTGACTGCTTGAGTCTGGCTAGTACCCGATGGGCTTATCCCATAGCTGTGCTATAACCCAGTTACGAAAAAAGTGACGATTCCTGGGATGATCCTCCAGCTAGTCGTCCTAAAGGGCAAAAATAAACCATGTAACTTCACCATGGCACATCGGTTGAAAGTCATCATGCATGCACATGAACATCAGTAATGGGTCGACCACTCATCTAAACCATCGGTGATGTTTTGGAAACGTGGTCGTCCAAAATCTGGTCAAGTCTTCTTTACTTGCAAGACTGCACTTTTTGCAACCCACAAAAAACGTGCCGAAAAGTAAAATCCAATCCTAACAAATTGGGTGGTACATGTGTCATCTTTTTTCAATCTTGTTTGGGGTTACCATCTGGTAAACTAACAGTTTGCTATTGAAAATGGCCATAGAAATAGTGAGTTTTCCCATTAAAAATGGTGATGTTCCATAGTTTTTTGTTTACCAGAGGGTATAAACCAAAAACACCCCAAACCCGCGAAAATTTGGAACACACATATCCCATATCGCACCATCTGATGGCTTTCCATGTTTCCCATACTCCCCTCCTGTTCTTGTTCACAGTCTCCCTAAATTACCCTCTGGTAAACGTTTACATAACTATGGAAAATCACCATGCTATTAATGGGTAAATCAACGATTTCTATGACCATTTTCAATAGCAAACTGTTAGTCATTACCAGAGGGTATGATGTGGCATTCCATAAATCTGTCCACGTGGTACCCTCTCTAGGGGGATGCAATTCTTGCCGCTTGACATCTGAGAAGCATGGAAAAAACTCAGATGTCCACTCAAAGTGCAGAGCACGCCTGTTTTAAGGTCACAAATAAGCCCTGAAATTGGTCACACATAAGTATGGACCATATATGATCAATTCCTAAACAAGAACAAGAAACTAGTGATAGAATGTGAACATGGGTATGGGTCAAAACTGGGTAGCGTATGTTTATTGGACGGTCAAAAAACTCAGTCAGTCAACGATGTCAACTTCAATCTGTGATTCCCCGGGTCTTGATGATATTTCATATATTATATCCCTATCATTGCCTATCATTGTATATCATCCCAATATACCCGGCCTGGTAAACGTTTACAGAAAACTATGGAAAGATCCACCATGCTATGAAAATGGGAAAATCCACGATTTCGACTGGGCCATTTTCAATAGCTATGTCACAGATTACCAGAGGGTACTATCATTATTCACCATGCTTATCCCTAGGATTCCCCTCATGCTATCCCTCATGCCCCATGTTTATCGCCCAAGGACAGCACCATCGATCTCGTGCGCCTCGACCAAGAGCTGAAACCTCCGGACTTTGATGAAATGGGGGCGCTGAAACACGGTGATGAAATGGGATATGATGGGACATAACTCACCAACAATACCTGGATACTATGAAAAATTAGTGATTAATGGACACTGATATTATATATCACTATAAGTAGATGGATAACATGATAAGCAATAGTAGAAAATAGATGGTTGGTGGTATACCTACCCCTCTGAAAAATATGACTTCGTCAGTTGGCATGATGAAATTCCCAATATATGGAAAAATGATCCAAATGTTACAAACCACCAACCAGTATCAGGTGACTTCTGAGAACACATGTGTTTTGCATGGAAATTGCACGGGCTGGGGACGCTCCCCTCTCTTTGGTAAATCTGAATTAAATCACCATGTTTGTTGGTTGAATTCCTTCCCGTTCATCTCGGTAAATGTGAAGCAAATCCCATTTTTTCTGCTTTACCCTCTGGTTATTTAACGTAGCCATGGAAAATCACCATTTTCAATAGGTAAACCATCTATAAATGGGCCATTCTCCATGGCTATGTTAGTCATAACCAAAGGGTAAATCCATGGTGTGTATCGCATGGTCAAGAAGTTGGGTCCATTCCTGGGCCAAGAAAACCCAGCGATAACAATTCGATCCCAATTTTGGAGTCTTGAAATCTCAATTTGCGTGAAAATTCTGGGTGAATGTTCCTTACCATTCCTCCAACATGACGACCCGGCCATGTAGGCATCATGGCTTTTGGGGCTTTGGAAGACGACAGGGTCAATCTGTTAGTTGGGGGATGGCAAGTTCCAATTTGTCCTTGGTATTTGAATCCAACTTTCGTGAGCTAAATCCCCACATGTACATCATGATAATATCATCATTGTCCGCCTTCGATAGCTGTAAATGTGGGTCTTGTGTGAAAAGAAGAACCCCAAAACTTGACCGTTCATCATCATTTTCCCCTTTAAAAATTTCAAAACAATTGGCGTATCGATCAAAAATCTCATCCATTTGGCAGCCCATTTTTCCATCCCTATGGATCCAAACACTGTCTGAGAAGCTACTTAACCCCTGGAAAACCATACCCCAGTCGTACTTCCTAAGAATATACGGCTGGATCCATAAAAAATTATTCACCCTACCATTTTTATAGCTGGGATTCCAACATATTCCAACCATCCCCAGTCATGGTACTGCTTTATGGCATGGTTTTACCCACATTCCATGGGTAAATCAACGGGAGAACCGGGGCCCCTGGGGCCCCACTGGGCCCAGCAACTTTTCTTCCTCGTCCTCCAATCGAAAGGCCAGCTCCGTGAGGATGACGCCGGAGCTCTGTGGCGGCCAGCGCTCGGCCGTGAACATGCCTCATTTTAGGTGCCAAGAGATGAGGCGAAGCTGCGCTCGGCCTCTGGTAAACATAGAAAAAGCTATAGAAAATCACCATTTTTAATGGGAAAACTATAGAAAATCACCATTATTAATGGATAAATGGCAATGTTCAATAGCTTTTTGTATGTTTACCAGAGGGTATATATCATCAATGATAACCTAATTTCTTGTTCCCCGTTAGCTTCTGCATATTGATCTATACGTGTGAGGTCAAATGAAGTACTATATAATACTCCAGAAAGTGTGAGCATATATTATTGTATATATTATTGTGTATATATATATGTATGTATACATAGAATTATATAGTATAATAGTATACTCTTGAAAGATCTAGTTCTAGGGCGTCACGCCCGTTATACATAGGCCTGAAGCTTCAGGGAGACCTTTCCAATATTCTTGGCCCATTTTCCAGATCCATCTCAAAGCGATGGTCACCTTGGGCTAGATAGCTAGATCCAATACTAAACCAGAGGCTTGATTGGAGATGTTTCAACATTAGGATGGGTTGATCTCGGAGTTTGTGGCAATGGGTATCTATATCATGTCATTATCATTTTATATCTAAGATATTCTTTGTGATGATCTTTGCGATGACCTGCCCTTTATGATTTTCCGGCTGGCTTGGTGGATTGTGTCGCCGTTTGTCGCCACGCCATAGACCATCCCAAAGGACTCACCAGAAACAGAGGCGTCCTGCCATGCCTGGAAGGAACTACCATCTGATATAACTTCCTTCCCACCACTCACCTTGACTTTCGAATGTGTCATACGTACTAACTTATCTCATGAATTGAGAATTTGTTGAAGCCTTTTTCAGGATGTGTCTCTAAAATATACATCCCCCTGAATAAACAACACCCGGGTATAATATCTTGGATCTACGCCAGGGCACCAAAGTGACCATCCACCAACCTTCCAATCATCTGCCAAGAGACCCAGATCAGTACTGAAGAAGTGCTCTGAATCCATAATGGCAGTATCTTTATCACCTGGGTTTGAAAAACCCACGGCTTTTTACCATGGGCCTTCCAAGGTCATGGGTGAATGGTAAAACATGAGTGTACCGCCCTACCCAAAAAATAAGGTCTGGATCAGGTTAAATTATCAAACAATACATCAGTTTCCTTCATTAGTGTCTGTGTGTGTTACTTGTGTGTGTGTGTTTGTATCTAGTGATCTATCTTTTCAGATTTCTGTCTACGTAGAATCTACAAAAGGACCTATGTACACAATTGTTCACATAATGTATAATGTACATCATGTAGCGTCATGTCAATTTCAAACCATGCAATCCAATGCAAATGTAATCGATGTAATGTAATCTAGTGTAGTCTTATGTAATCTAATGCACTCTAATATGTAATCGAATCTTACGTAGTCTAGTGGAATCCTTTGTAGTCAAATGCAATTTAATGTATTCTGATGTAAGTATATGTGCAAGTACATGTATGTGCCTGGCTGGCTGTCCATCTGTCTCTGTAAAGGTCTTTCTGCCTTCATGTATTTATGTCTATATCTAGGCAGGCGTACAGATTGTTTCCCCGTGTCTATTTATGGCAGTATCAGTATGTGTAGGCGGTATGTATGGTTTACCAGTTTTTTCGTACCATTACTTTCATTCCACAACTATCTTATGTACTATGTGTTCCTTCTCTATGGTATATATTAATTCTATTTACAGTTACAAGGAAATGCCCCAGTTCGTTAGCTAAGTTGACGGACATAACTTGGTGAATTCTATGGTTTATGGTAGATACAACTATAGTAACTATAGTTAATGGTGCATCATCCTCTTTCAGCACAAAATCAGTCAGAGAAGGCCCTACAATCCATGCCGCGTCGAGATGGGGGACCCATGGGGGACCATGCTACGAGTATTTTTTGTTACGATGACCCTCGGGTAGTCAAGCGTTGCACTGAAAAGTCATATTCTGTGGATTTATCAATATATATATATATAATTATTATTATTATCATTATTATTATTACTATTATTATTACTATTATTATTGTTATTATTAATATTATTATTATTACTATTATTATTATTACTATTATTATTGTTATTATTAATATTATTATTATTACTATTATTATTATTACTATTATTATTGTTACTATTATTATTGTTATTATTAATATTATTATTATTACTATTATTATTATTACTATTATTATTATTAATATTTTATTTTACTTATGTATTTACTTATTTATTTATTTATAATATATATATATATATTATTTATTTATGTATATATATATATATTATATATAATTATATATAGTGACCTATTGAAACTTGGTGTGTTCCATGATTTTCCAGCCAACAAAATCCAGGTATATCCACCAGTTTTAGCTGGCATTTTGCCAGCAAAATCCACAGCAGAGCGGCGCAGGTAGCCGCGGGCGTGGCTCAACAGTTGCACGTCCATTTCTTCCAAATCTTCTGCGTCCAAACCTAGGGTGGTCTCAGTGGAGTCAAACGACAAAGTCATACCCTCTGGTAATCAAAGGTGGTACAAGTAATTTTATGAATCCCTCATAAATCGAGGTTTTTCATGGGAAAATCATCTACAGATGGGGGTGTTTTCCATTGCCAAGTCTGATCAATAAAGCGTATTTCATGGCAATTTCAATTCCATCGTCATCAACTGACAATCGGGAACCCAAAGTTATGACATAAACTTCATGAACATGGGAATTCTGAACCTGCTTGCTGATGTGCTTCAGGTTGACAAGTCATAACTTTATCCGACTTTATTTCGAGGTTCATGGCCAGCAGACGGCTGGCCTGTTGCTTCCCCCATTGAAGGGACAACCTCATGCCATGGAATTCCGAACTCCTGAACTGGGGTATGCATAGAAAATCCCAAAATGAATCCTAATAGGAAAGAAAAGTAACTCACCATCAAGATTTTTTGGGGAATCACAACTTTTCCAAAACCACACACCTGCTCAAATGTAAAAGAGCGCAACTCGCAAGAAACAGTTTTTTGCCCGCTTCGCAGTTTTGTCTGAAACGGAGCCCATACTTGGCTCACTCTCACCCCAGGAATCGTAAGTTGTAACCCCACTTAGGGTAAGTAGGGTAAGTAGGGTTAGCCTAGTCGTAAACTGGGGTTCTACCTTGCTAAGTGAAGTCAACCAACAAGTAGAACTGCTACGGCAAGGTGGAGACGTCCCGATTCGGCCCTACGGAACCGATTCGGATCACCCTGTGAAACCACCAGCCTCTGGGAATCTGCCCTGACAGGTTGGAAAGTCCATGGCAAAATCATCCCAAATGAAGTTCCCATGGAAACCAACCTTTCTTCGGTCAACTTGGCAGGAATCTCTTCTACCCTCAGGTAATGACTAACAGTTTGCTATAGAAAATGGCCCAGTCGAAATCGTGGATGTTCCCAGCTATAAAATGGTGATTGTCCATAGCTATGTAAACGTTTACCAGAGGGTACTCGACATCAAAAGCAAATTGTCTCCCGGCAAACTCTTTCCTCAACTCCATCTGACTCTCCAACTTCGTCAACAATTCGAGCAGCTTCAATTCCCTCTCTGCTGCTTAAATCATCCCATATGTTTCTGCTTATCTGAAGCCTTTCTGTAAACATAGATTTTTTGGAAATCACCATAAATGGGGGTTTCCAGAGAGGTACCCCCATTTATGGATGGTTCATTTCATGGAAAATCCTATTAAAATGGATGATTTCGGGCTACCGGTACCCCCATGACTTCGGAAACCTCAGCCACCGCGTCTCCGTTCGAGTCACGATCGATGCTGCTGGCCAGGACTAATCCAGCTGCCTTCAGACGATCGCCCTTCTCATCCTCGGTGTGTTTTTAACGACGCGAGTGGTTGAACAAAACAACCATTGGGGGATGTCATAATATAGTGGATATAGATATATATATATATATAGATATAGATATATAGATATATAGATATATAGATATATAGATATATAGATATATAGATATAGATATATATATATATATATATTATATATATACTGTATATATATATGATATCATGGCAATATATACTGTAATGGATTTAACGAACAACCATGGCAAATTTGAGAACCATTCGGGATTTAATTCGGAATGTAGCGATATTTTCAGAGGATGTGAATGATGTCATGGAAATATCCTGGGATATTCCACCAGGCCCCGACTGGGAGCTTCTTGGAATCCAAATATCGATTTTTGAAACATCCCGTTAAAAACGTAGCTACGGGAAACCAACAGGGAACTGATGATTAACATAGCTATTGGGTTAATAGAATCCAGACTTAGCCCCATTGAAAACTTTCCACTAAATCAGCTTGTTTTTGGATGTTTGATGTTCCCTTAATGTGTCCAACTTTAGTAACGGCATCAATACCCTCTGGCAATTTAACATAGCTACGGGAAATCCGCCATGTATAGGTGATTTTCCAGCGTATAGATGATTTTCCAATTAAAACCTCCACGTACATTATAGGGGATTTCTAATTTCCAGACTTGATTGCCAGAGGGTATGTTCTCAGAAAACAAACGCCAAGACTCGTGGCCATAAATCTATCTTATACGAAAATGCAAGTTCAAAAAAAAAACACATGTCACATGTGTCATTATGTTTCAACCCAAATCTATAATAACCATAGTTATGGCATATTCATAACTCCAACATGATGTTCCCCATAAGTAAGTTCTGAATAAACGCCCAAGGAAGTTCTGAAAAATATTCGAACGGCCAAGACGCGTGGGGGGACTGGCTGCTCTCCTCTAACAAACGCATCAACTTCAAGGGGCATTCCTCCGTCAGACGCCCAGCCAGACGCCTGGAAAGCTCTTGATCCACCAACCATTTACCTCAGATCCCACCAAAAAAAGAACGACACCGCTGGGTTTCAATGGGACATGTATGACATTGTTTCAACAAAAAACAGAGAAAACCTATGCCCCCACAAAAAAAATATGTTAAGTAATACATCCCAAAAAAACATTTTTATGTTAATCAGAATTCATCCAAGAAAAACTAACATTTTTCAGGATTCTGCGGGTTTTTTCATGGTCATATATTGCATGATATGGTGTGAAACCCAGGAAAACAGGCCATGGCGAAGCGCTAACATCCTGCCCCATGAGGCTGACCCCGTGGTGCATTCCACGGATTTCCCATACTGTGTGATCATTCCCCAATGATATTTGATGATGTGGGATATTGTGACATGTACCCTCTGGTTATTTAACATAGCCATGGTATGGATGGCCCATTTATAGATGGTTTACCTATTAAAAATGCTGATTTTCCATGGCTATGTTGAATAACCAGATGGTATAATCCCATGTATAACTGTATAACCCCAGAGAGTTGTCGTCAAAAAAAACTTGGGGGATATTCCATGGTGGATGTTCCAGAAAGTCACGTGAAACCCTCTGGTAATTTGTTAACAGTTTGCGAACTGGAAAATGGCCCAGTTGAAATAGTGGATGTTTCCCATGAAAAATGGTGATTTATAGTGGATTTTCCCATTAAAAATGTGATTTATAGTGGATGTTTCCCATGAAAAATGGTGATTTATAGTGGATGTTTCCCATGAAAAATGGTGATTTATAGTGGATTTTCCCATGAAAAATGGTGGATCTTTCCATAGCTATGTTAAATTACCAGAGGGTACACCGAAGGGTATCTCGGATTTGGCCCTTCTCGCTTACCCTCTGGTAAACATCTCTGGAAAACGGAAAATCACCAGGCTATGGGTAAATCAAGGAACTTTCTATGGCCATGTTAGCAAACTATAAACGTTTACCAGAGGGTAAACATCAACCAACCATGCAAAAAACATTCAGTTGGATATTAGGTATATTCAACCCCTATAATCATCAATTTATTATTTACCAGAGGGAAATCATCCTTTACTGGTTGGTGGTATACCTACCCGTCTGAAAAATATGAAAGTCAGTTGGGATGATGACATTCCCTATATATGGAAAAATAAAAGCCATGTTCCAAACCACCAACCAGCTTTATTATCACAAATCCTTATTTAACATAACCATGCTCCATCAATCATCCTTTATAAAAATTGGAAATCCCGGTGGCCCGTCGTACGCGACGCGACCGAGCTGAAATTCATCCCTTGTGTCTTTCGTCATATTATGTATATGTATATATATATAAGGATATGAATGTTGTCTTTCATCCGAACATCTCCGAACAGTTTGACTTTCACCAGTCGCAGATCGAATGATCGAATCATGGATCAACCATCCAACCAGCTGCCCCACTTCCCGGGTGCCAGCCGTGCCCACGAGGGCGGTGGCAAGTGTTATCTTGACAGATTCAGAGGGATATTTAACCGATTTAACCAACTAGTAGACTGGTATTTACTTGGAGATTCTAGTCATGAATCGGATAGTTATATCTAGTTATGTAGATTTACTGTTTTTTTTCACCAACCGGACTCAAGAGTTGACATGTGTAGTAGAATAACCCCCGAAAGTGATAAACATAGGTTCAACGTACAGTATCATGCTTCGAGCAGGATCAATTCCTGTTCTGCATGGGGGCCTGGGTACTGTATGTATGCGCCATGAAAAATACTGATTGGTCAAGACTAACAGTAATTGTCCCGTTAATGTTACTTCTGGGTCGTCACAGTCCCTAAGATCCAATAAGTTGGGTAGTGTACGACCCAACGATCATCAATCAACAATAGTCCTGTATGTTGAATGGCTATGTCTCAAAATAGGGAAGCCCATTCCACTGGGTGTATCATTTATCCAATCACAATGGCCATATTGGGGCTATCTCCCATCTTCAAGCCATAGTGGCGCAACGTATTTCCGCCATGCTGCAGGCGGGCTGGAGCTTCTTCCCTTTCTGCAAGATGGCAATGGTAGCATCATCCAGCTCCGGCAAGACGTAGGTCAGTTGAGATCCGTCCTGAAAATACCACGATGTGATGTGGCCATGTTCATACCATCTGGTTATGACTAACAGTTTGCCATGGAAAATCCACCGTATGTTTAAGAACGGTAAACCATCTATTTCTATGGGCCATCTATACCATGGCGAACTGTTAAATAACCAGAGGGTAAGCTTTTCTGATAGCAACCACCCAACAAATAGAAAAGTCATGTATCAGGATTTTAGTAGGAGTTGACTTTTTGTTCTTTTTTTTGGGGCTTGCTATAAAGAACCAGAAATCCGCTGCTTGGCAGAACAAGTGTCAAGTTCACAGAGAAACTTTTGAAGACCACCTCGATGTGGATTCTCCTGGGACGGTCGCTGCGCCAGATGGGTGCTGTTTATACCATCCCCATTGGGGGTAAGTGTATTGTCGCACGTGTCCCACATTGCTAGGTTGTTATTGTGTTGTTTAAATAATTACCGCGTTTTAGAAAGCAGAAACATTCTGAAAATTGAGAAAGGGGTATATAGAGACAACACATATGATGGGAAATGATGGAAAATCATCGGATAAATGGGTGATATACTAGCCACAATGGGGATACAACGGGATGTTTCACAAATCAACAGAGTATTTGGATTTGTCCAGAAATACATGAGACCTCCAAATGACATTTTTCTTGGACACAAATGATGATTACCAATGAATTGTTGGGTTGTTCCTAAAAATGTTCAGGTACCCCGGCTGGATCTTTACCACGAGGTGTGGAACTTGGTGCAGTGCAAAGAAAACGGATTTGTTTTATGGAAATACGTTTTTTTTAAAGGGATTTAGGGATTGTTGACTTTAGAAAACAGATTCAAGATGATTTGAGGTTATTTTGAGGATGATTCCCCAATCCCAGTCCCATCATTTGTCGGCCCATGTAAAGTCGCTGCTGAAATTCTCCAGACCCGAAACAGCATCAGCCCTTGCCTAGTTTTATATGGGCGCAACTTCCAATAAGCCAAAAAAAATGGTTGAAGTTGAAATAAGTTGAAATAAGCCAACAAAATCGCCTGTGGTAATTCGTTTTAGTTTGCAACATCTGGAAAAATCACGGTCAAACTATGGCTGCTAATCTTCACCACGTGGGACAGCATCCTGGATAGGTAGCCCTGGTGCCCCACTTGGGGTATCCAAAGCAAGCGCTTGGTGGTTTCAAGTTCAACCCATCCTAAACTCTGACTTCGGACCACCGGCAGGGCCAAAAAAAAAATGGAAAGATCCACCATTTCTAATGGGAAAACTCACTATTTCGACTGGGCCATTTTCAATAGCAAACTGTAAACGTTGACCAGAGGGTATCACGGTATCACGTCATTTCTCCCAACTCCATCTACTGCCTAACTTTATGTGTTTCTTACCATTTCCTACAGACGGGTTGCCCTTGCTCGAACAGGCCAAAGCCATTATTTATCGATGATAAACTTCCCTGAAAATCACAAGATTTCCTGGTAACCCCCATGATTGCTGGTGTGGGAAACTCTTCGTAGCGAAACTTGGCTCTCCATGAGGAGGTTTCCATAAATGGAGGTACCCAAAAAATGGTTGGTTTATAATTTTCACATCCCATTAAAATGGATGATGTGGCTTTACCCCCATGACTTAGGAAACCTCTTGGTTTATAATGAACATCCCATTAAAATGGATATTAAAATGGATGATTTGGGGGTACCCCCATGACTTGACGGAAACCTCCATGACTAGCAGTGAATTCCCGAACATCCCAGAGGGCGATTTACCCGAAAAATCCGAGAAAAACCGTGGCACATGAGGTTTTTTCGGGGTTTAATGGTGGTTTTATGGTGGTAAACCATAGGAAAACCATAGGAAAACCATAGGAAAATGGTGGTAAAAAATGGTAGTTTAATGGTGTTTAACTAACAAAATGGAGAGATTTTACTGGGATTTAGCCTCTGGTAATTTGTTACATAGCTATTGAACATGGCCATAGAAATAGTGGATTTACCCATTAATAGCATGGTGATTTTCCATAGCTATGTAAACGTTTACCAGAGGGTATTGATCAATGGCCTGTTGATTACTATCATGGTTCATCAACCAGCATTGTTAACGAAATATTCATCAAACATATGGAAACAAAACTACTCTTAGTAAGCAACATCATAATTTAGTAACTAATAACTCGTAGCTAATCACGAATCACGAATGACTAATAACCTAATAACGACCTATAACAACTACATGACTAGGTGTCGACTTCCCATCCGCTCCAGAAAGAGACCCACGATCTCTTGGATCGCTTCGGCGGCACCCGGCAGCTTCATCCGGAGACGCAGCAGGGACGTGAGTTTCTTCCTGAACCAAGTGCTGGATGAAAGGTCACCAAAGTTATGAAAAAAAGGAAATAAAAAAACTTAGAAATCTGGGATGTCACTTGGATTCTCAGGTTTTACCCTCTGGTAATTTAACATAGCTATTGAAAATGGCCATAGAAATAGTGGATTTACCTATTAAAAATGGTGGATCTTTCCATAGCTATGTAAACGTTTACCAGAGGGTATGATATCTATAGACATCTATAGATATCTCTGATTAATAATTGATTCATATCTCGGATCTGAGGATTTCCAGCGATGGCCGGCACCGCACGCAGCATGGGAATCCGGCGCCATTGGAACAGATTCGATGTGTTTTTATCATGGCCAGTTTCATTTTTATCATATGGGCATGGATCAATACCTATTTTTATACCATATTTTTAGGGGGATATTCACATCCATTTTAACCCAGCTATTTTGATGTGAACAAAAAAGGGGTACTATTGGTTTTGACACACTGCCATATGATGTATTTTTAGTATTGACCATCCAATGACATCCATTCATTGCGGTCAATTTGACCCATAGCCATAGAAAATTCAGACGCACAACCGCGCTCGCGACCAGCATCCCAGTCGTCTGCCAGGAGTTGTTTGTCAGCATCGGTGTGGTGCCCAATTCTCATGTCCAAAAAAACCGCTACGGGAAGAACTTTGCACGGGAACGGAAGTAAAAATCGGATGATGTGTTTTTTTAATCAATGTAAATTGTTGTGAATCAATGGTGAGCAAATAGTATAACTATGGTAAATTGATAGTTACTAATGATGGTTTATCAGTTTATCAAATGACTAGGTCACCCCATTTCAGTCCCAAGGTCGTCCCAAGGTCGTCCCGATTCGGAACATGGGAAAGGTTGAGTCATTGGAGGATGGTTAGTCAACCAAAAAACATAGAAACATACGGAAAAAAAAATACCTATTACCATATTCATATGTTCATTTGTGTATATGATGGTTCTTTTCATGTTAATATATTATGTTATATTATGTTAGTTGTGCTTTTCTCTTTCTGGCAGTTGCGACAAAAGGTGTTTTTAAGTAACCCGGTACCCGTCTGTTCACACCAAAATAGCCGATTTTCCCGGATAATTGGATGTTCATCATCCACCAGTTCCTATTCTCTTCATTGTTCATATGAGCCATGGTCAATACTCACTATATGGTTGATGGTCATCCCATCCATAATAAGGATCCTTATAATGGTTATTATAAATCCCTATGAACCATTGGATGACTAGCCCCTATTAATGGTTATTAACCATGAGTATTGACCATAGCTCATATGGGTTTGTCCGAAAATACTGTACCCCAACAAATTGGATGACATGATGACAGTCACTTTGCCCAGCAGAGGGGTCCCATCCCCAACCACTCCCCAAAAACAAACCAAACTTCTGTGCGGACGCATCAGGAAGATCGGGGCGAACGAACTGCTCGCCTGCGCAGCGCCGTGTGGCTTAAAAAAACATGAGGTATACCCAAAAACCACCATGTTTATCATGTGATATAGGTTGCACAAAATGATGATATACCACTAGATTTACAGGGATTTACATCGGGCTACCCTACTTTTTTCACATAAACCCTGCAATTTCCGCTGAAAATCTTGGACGCTCTGGGAGTTGCCTGAGATAACCCTTCAGTTGAATTGTTGAACCATATTTGGGTTACTCATATTTCACAAAGTTTAAGCCATATAAAGAAATGTCCCAACTTATAGAAATGTGTGTTTGTTGTTACAACTTACAAAACTCCATATTTAAAAAAAGCCAATGAGCAGTTCTTTGCCGTAGAAATCTTGGCTGGTCACACCTCGGAACCCAACGGAACCCAACATGGCCAGCTGAAGATCCGAAAATCAGACGTCCTTTTTGAATCCAGCTTTCAAAAACCTAAAAACCATGCAATCACCAAGGACATATCCCACAAAAACGCATGTATGAACCCCATGTTTGCTGCTGATGTCCCAAATGTTTGGCAAACAAATAAACCCTTAAACTGCCCATTTCCGTTCGTTGTTTTCTACCTTTTTGTCCTGATTCATCGCCCAAAATCCCAATCATGTTCCAATAATTATCCCCAGAATCCGTCTAATGCTTGATGATGGTTCATGGCGCCAACAAAAAAACAAAAAAACTCCCAACAACTTCAAATATATATATATACCAAAAAACAAGAGAAAACTCCCAAAGAGCACAGAAAAGCCTCCATTTTCCTGGCCAAACAACGCCCCAACGTTTGCACCAACTTTCGGTGCCTCGCGACAGCAACTCCAGAGCCACTGAGGTCACCGAGGACGACGGAAGCTGAGGCACCAAGGCGAGGATTTCAGCGACTGTGTCCTGCCGTGGTGTTATTAATAGTTGATTGGGTACAGTACCATGGTTATATAATACACTATTAATGGTACATTATATTGTTATAGTACCCAATCACTATTATATGATGGTAATATTACCATGGTTATATATGTGATAATAGTAATAGTAATACATACATAGTGATATTCATAGTTCATAGTAACCATATATATATATGATAGATATAGTTGATATAGTTGATAGTGATATTATTAATGATGGCTATATATAGTTATAAATTACCCTTGGGTATATTTCCATGGCTATATAGTTATATATATATATATTGGGGGTTTCATAAATGGAGGTACCCCAAAATGGATGGTCTGTAATGGAAAATCCTATTAAAGTGGATGATTTGGGGGTACCCCTATTTCAGGAAACCCCTCTATATATTATGTACATCCTTAGTTTTTCTAAGTTGAGCAATAGCATGTAATAATCCAATAGTTGATTTACCTATGAAACATGGATTTTTTTCTCCATGTTGGTCTACCAGGTTGGATATGTTGGATTTTTCTCCCAACGAGGATCCAGTTGTAGGTACCTTCTTAGGAAGTACAACTGGGGTATGATGACAGTGTTGGGATCCCAGGGAGATTTACCAATGGATTTAGCTAACTGGATTAGTGGAAAAGTGAAACCTGAATTTTACTGATAATCATGATCATGTTTTTCAATAATGTCGTTGTTGTGTATATAGATATATAACTATATATACAATTATATATATATAATTATATATATATAATTATATATATATAATTATATTTTATAGAAATTTATAGATGAGTTTTCTTTTCTGTTGTTTCAAGCTCAAGATGTTGAGCAAAACATCTGGTATTTATAGTGTTGTTTGAATGCAACTGTTCAAACGCAATGCGACTGTTCGCAGCGTTTGTTTGACTTTAAGACCATGCCACAGGGCAAGCGCTTCCCCACAGGGCATCGGGTGTGTGGGGAGCTCATCAACTCCTTTCAATGAATAAAATCATCCTCCGTGGTTTCATTGGCTTTTTCACGGTAGGTTTCATGATAACAAGCGACAGAAAGGCCGACGTCCGACGTCCCTTCGCCCTGCCCGATCTGCCCGTCCCTTCGTCCTCTTTAAAGGAACGAATGGCGGACTTCACGTGTTGATTTGGATTCAGCACCTGTGACACGACTCAAGCAGCGATTGTGAGTCACTGGGATGAGTGGAAAACCAGGGAACAAGGGAAAATGGTGATATAATGGGGACGTAAAAATTGGGATATAATGGGATACAATATCATAAAAAAATGGTGATTAATGGTGATCTTAATGGTGATTATCCCAAAAAATGTCCCAATATTTATTTTTTAGATCCCAGGGGCTCCAAATGTTTGGTGATTTACATCATGGAATCACAGGATTTTCATCATGAGGATGGGCCATGGATAGCTATGTTAGATTACCAGAGCCCAAACTAGTCAACTGTAAACCGCTTTTGTTTCATGATTTTCATGGCTTGTAAAAAAAAAAACGGCTACATCTATAAGTTTATTATAGCTGTGATATTATCATGGCTTTAGATTCAGCTAGCATTTAAGGGATCGATTGGGCATGGCATGGTTCATTCTCACCGAGCTCGCCCGGCTGTGAGTTTCTCCTCATGGCTTTCCCTGGGAAATGATGGCTTTCCATGGCGACCCGGGGACCTGTAGTGAGATGCGACCATCATTCCATCCCATGGAAACATATCAAAAATGGTCCTTGAAGGAGGGTATCCTAAGCTCATTGGATTGGTTTAAGGGAAAATCTACAGGAAACCATGGTTTTTACCATCAAATATAGGGCTTTCCTGTAAATTTTCCCATCATCCAATTCTATGATAAGCATACTCCAGGAAAAAGCCCCATATTCAAATTACTTTACTTCGTGTGATCCCCACCATGACATTTATACATGTTCTTACTGGCACATCTTCTGGCATTCTATCTGACATATCTTCTGACATTCTATTTGGCATTCTATCTGGCATATCTTCTGGCATATCTTCTGGCATTCTATCTGGCATTCTATCTGGCAAATCTTCTGGCATTCTATCTGGCATATCTTCTGGCATTCTATCTGACATATCTTCTGGCATTCTATCTGGCATTCTATCTGGCATATCTTCTGGCATATATTCTGACATATCTTCTGGCATTCTATCTGGCATTCTATCTGGCATTCTATCTGGCATATCTTCTGAAATATCTTCTGGCATATCTATCTGGCATATCTTCTGGCATATTTTCTGGCATTCTACCTGGCAAATCTTCTGGCACTCTATCTGACATTTTATCTTCCTACATGAGGTCCGGCAGGGAACACTTGGCGTGGATACTCGCGGTTGAGGTCCGGCAGGGAACACTTGGCGTGGATGGTCGTGGTTGAGGTCCGGCAGGGAACACTGGGCGTGGATGGTCGTGGTTGAGGTCCGGCAGGGAACACTGGGCGTGGATGGTCGTGGTTGAGGTCCGGCAGGGAACACTGGGCGTGGATGGTCGTGGTTGAGGTCCGGCAGGGAACACTGGGCGTGGATGGTCGTGGTTGAGGTCCGACAGAGAACACTGTGGATCGCGAGTCGCAGTTGAGCAGGAGGACGAGGAGGACAACGAGAGGAGGAGGAGGAGGAGGAGGAGGAGGACCAGGCAACTTAGATAAAATCTAACAACCCTCACCTGGCAGGTGGGGAATTCCCCAGGAAAAACAGAGGATACTCGGATGATCCCAAATCATTGGGGACATTCCAAATATTTATTGTTCATTCCAAACAACTATCTTGTTCACCACTTTTTTAGAATATGTTATAACGAAGGTATTTAAAGATCTTGGGATTTTTTGTTGATACTTTTTTGGGGGATTGTTTGGAGTTTTGTTGTTTTTCTTGATTTGTTTCGATTTGTTTGGATGGTTTTCACACTTATTTGGATGTTTTTGGATTTGTTTGGAACTTTTCTTTTTTTGAACTTTTATTTTTCTTTTGATGTGTTTGATGTTATTGTAGATTTTTCTGGAAATTGTGGATTTGCTTTTTTTTTAAATATGTTTCTGATTTGAGTTTTTTGTGAATTGTTTGATTGATTAGTGTTTTAAAGTTGTTTTTGGATGTTTAAAGATTAGTTTGGAATGTTTGAACTTTTGTTTGTTTCTTTTGAGAATTTGTGTGAAAGAATAGCAGCTTTTAGGAGTGGCCCTGTTAGGAGTAGCCCAGGGCTAATGACCAAACCCCACCTTTCACCTCCAACGAGCACCTCCAACGACGCAGCGAAGCTCTGCATGTTTTCCACCGAACATCTTCGAATGTTAACTGGTTGGTGGTTTCAACCCCTCTGAAAAATATGAAAGTCAGTTGGGGTTACTATTCCCAACTGAATGGAAAAATAATCCAAACGTTCCAAACCACCAACCAGATATTGATGGGTAAATATACTGCATTGCTCATGAAAATTGAAAGGTTTCTAATAAAAATCCATCACCATGTTTCTTGGTTGAAATCCCCATGTTTCATTGTAAAATCCATATAGTGGTCATTCTTAAATCCAATCTGTTTCATGAATAAATTCAAATTCTTCATGATAAAATCCCCATAAATCCCCCATGTTTCATGGTTCAATGCCCATGTTTCTTGATCAAATCCAGACGTTTCCGAAAGTTAAATCCCTAATTTGTCATGGCTAAATCCCTCTGTTTTACATCCCAAACTGTTTCCCCATGTGTCATTCTGAAAAATCTCCAAAGTTCCACACATTCTGCCGGTGAAATTCACCCAGTTCTCACCCCGCCACGGCACTGCAGGAGTTGGCAATGGGCTGCCAGTCATCGGACTCTGCGGCTTAGTGCCCAGCCAGCGTTCGATGTTACAGCGCTCGTAGGTGTAACCGTCCTGGTTGCGGTGCGAAAATGGGAAGATATGAAGATACGAAGGAGTTCTTTGGTTTAATGAACAAATGGGAAGGTACCCTCTGGTAAACGTTTACATAGCTATGGAACATCACCATGTTTAATGGGAAAATCCACTATAAATGGTCATTTTCAATAGCTATGTTAAATTACCAGAGGGTATGATGTTTTTCCAATGTGTGTGGTGTTTCAGCTTTTTGGGCGGAAGATGCAGTAGAATCTGATTGAATTTGCTCAAAAACATCAGGCATAAATGGACATCCACCCCAAGGGCCACCTCTCTCAGCCACATCAACAAGGCTTTCCTGGCTCATGGAAAAAGGACAATGCATATGTTTAATGAATAGATCATTACATCAACACACCATGAGTTCTGTTTTCATCATTACATCAACACACCATGAGTTCTGTTTTCGTTAATAAATAATTCATTGATTCTATATATATAATATTATACAGTATACCCAATATATCCTAATATGTATATATATATATATAATCATGACATCAACAGACAAATTGTATATAGACATGTCCCAATGGATCATTGACTCCATAATCTCATGGTTCTTCCACTAGTAAATTTAGTTATCCCCCGGTCAACAAACTACAGTAATATGCCACCAAAATAGTCCTTGATTCTCCTCTGAATATCCCATTAGTATCCCATGGAATAATATGTAATCTCCCATTGAATTCTCATTTCTACTCCCATATCCGAGTCATATTTCTATTCCATGAATATCCAGATACCCTCTGGTAATTTAACATAGCTATGGAAAATCACCATTTTTAATGGGAAAATCCACTATTTCTATGGCCATTTTCAATAGCTATTTTGACATTACCAGAGGGTAAAATCCCTTTAGAATCTCCCATTCTACAGATCATGAATCATGGGATCTTCCCATTAAAATTTCCCATGAATTTCATGAATATCCCAGTCATTTTTTGATCACAATTAAAATATCCCATGCATATTAAAACCATATGGATATATATATATATGTATATATATATATATACACATAAACCATATATACACATAAACCATATATACACATATAAACCATATATATATAATTCGTAGCTCTTCCGTTCTTTTAAGGGCCACGTTTCTCCACATGTCGTCTCCGTCTACCGGGTTCTTAACGACTCGCGTCCTGTGCCACGACGGGATCCCACATGAGCTGCCGTGAGATGGGACAGCAGAACTCCGCTGGATCCGTGGTCAATCGCTTGACCTCGGACGAACAGACGGAGATGTTTGATCTTCTGAATGGTGATGGCTATATATCCCAATATCCCAAAGAGATATGTATATATATATATATGTGTGTGTGTATGTATATATAAGTGGGGAAAATAATAATTATTATTATTAATAATAATAATAAAAAGAACACCATTTGTTATAGTGCCAAGGTTTGAATCTGTTCTTGAATCGTGTCGATCTGTTTGGGTGCGTTACTGTATTATTAATAAAGATGATCATGGCATGAATGGTTCATGATTCATATCAATGATACCACTATAATGATGGAGTTTAGTGTCTTCCAAGATATATATATATTATTATATATATATATCCAATCAGCAGGGGTATTTTGATGGCTGACATCAGTGTTGGCATGGCGAGTATTGATATCTCAAGCTAAAAAGAGACAGGAAACCGATATCAAAGTTAACCCCTGATTGATAGACCCTGGTTGATTAATTTAAGTTCTGGGGGTAGTCGAAAAATGATAATCTGCTTATAAAATGGCACGGTTCCGCAGCCCCCCAAAGGGTCATTTTCATCTGGAGTTGAGTTTTTAACGAGGATAACAATTGTCATAATGATGATGAGAATGATAAAAAGGGATATTGATAACAATAACAATAAATGATGAAAACTAATGATAATGATAATAATAATGTGTGATAAATGTAAGAACTTATAATGATAATAACCAATAATGACAATAGCAAATAATATTGAAAGCAACAGCTCTATTTATAGCCACAAGAAGCCACATGTTTATCAACCAAATCCAGATTTACCCGGTTGGTCAGAACCCCTCCGCGGACCAATCTGCTGGTTCCAATCTGTGTGCGTATATAATTTTATATATATATATATATGTACACACACATACAATATATATATATATATATATATGTGTATTATATATATATGTGTATATATACACACACTTCTGTGGATAATATTCATTTCGAATCGGATTTCACTTGGATCAATTGGAATCAGAGTCGTGTCTCCCAGCATGTTCCAATCATCAAGACACCAGTGGCGCGCAGGCTTCTTCCCTAGCACTCTCCTGTCGGCTGGAAAATCACCGGAAGTGCGCCCTGGGAATTAGTGTGTCCTACAAATAATCGTATTAATGGTGTTCCAGGTGCTTTTTCAAGGAGGTTATAGACGATACTTACCTCAAAATTTCCGGATGTGCAACTGAAAAATCTATCTCTATAGTCTAAAAATGTGGTGAAAACTCGATTGCCAGGTGAGATTGCCAAATGATGACAATATGTAGTAATTTGGCTACAGCTATGACTGATCATACAGAACGCGATCCAAATTAGAGGTGATGGGCAAGCTAGTTTCATCCCCTTGGTCAAAGTTCAATCATTTCACGAGTCACAGTCCCCAGTTTTGGTCAAATGTAGTTCAATCATTTCACGAGTCACAGTCACAGTCTCCACGTTAGTTGGTTTTCCTTGGCCAGGGTCTCTGGGGAACATGCTGGTCTGGGAGACCCAAGTGATAGTCACGTTAGCACTGTAAAATTCGAAAACGCACGGTTACGTTAAATTACCGGAGAGTACCCACTTTAGCTATCTTATGCACGGTGTTCCGTGAGCGTCACCTTTCGGAAGGCTCCAACCACTATTTGACTACCACTTCAAGTGATATGTCATCCCATGTTTGTTGTTTCAGCTCCCATTCCTGTTGTTTCAATCCTTACACTTCGATGTTGCCACTTAAAGTCACTTAAATCATCATTTCTCTTCGGAACAAATATCCAGTTTGATCAAAACACCCATCTTTTCCGGGCAGCTCAACCTCTCCATGCCTTAGATTCTTAGATCCATCGGATGGAACGATCCTTCGGCTCCAGTTCCAGGGTTTCGAGAACCTCCTTGGGTGTGGCGTTCCAAATTTTGGAAATCACCTTAGACATGGCGTTTTTCGCTGATCGTCAGGAAAAACAAACCCAAAAGGGGGAGATATGTTGCTCCGTTCCGAGTAAAACTGGGGGATTTACATCGATTTACAGCTCAGCTCTAACTGACTTCCGGATGTTCTGGATCCTTTGGTTTTGACCTTCGGATTTTTGTTGATCTTCTGGGTGTAGAGAAAAAATGACAGATACAAATACGATCCCTGGTTGGTGGTTTTAACCATCTTGAAAAATATTAGTCAATGGGAAGGGTGACATCCCATATCAAATCCTAATATGATGATAATAATATGGAGGGTCGAAAAACATGGAGGTACCCCTTCATAGCTGGATGGTTTAGAATTCATGGAAAACCCATCCAAATGACAAATCGGGGTACCCAAATTTTGGGAAACCTCCATATGATGATAATTAATATCTGGGTAAAATCACTCACCTGAATTTGGGTAAACCCAGGTCAATCTCCATATGATAATATTTCACTCACCTGAATCTTGCGGCCTTTATATAAAGGGGATAATTTCCCTTTAAAACCATGGATTCACCAGGCTTCGGGAGAACAGTGGAACAGGTTTCGGTCGTGATGAAATCTACCCAGATATGATGATAATATATGATAATTAGATGCTGGTGTCGCGTTTCCATTTCCCGGGGGGAAGAATCTTGATCCACATGCACGGCTTTGGGAATGAACGGCTTGGGAAAACAAGATCCATCCACTACGTCCGAGTCCCATGGTTTCAAACCTTTAAAATGAGGTAAAACTGTAAACCCATATTTTGAAAAGAACCCACCTATGAAAGGATGGAACAATAATAATGATACATAATGATACATACATACGGAAATCATTAATCATATGGAGTACCTTGAGATCTAATGAAAAAAAAGATAAAGTTGTTTCCAATAGAAACCAGGCAAGAAAAAGTGATTTCGATGCCTGAAGTCTGGCTGCTTCTGGCCAAAAGAATGGCTACAATGAAACAGCTAAGCATTTTCAAAATACCACCAGTTTTTACCATTCCAATCACCTGGAAATTTCGAAGTTTCCATGCTTCCAGCGACCTTAACATCACCTCTCTTTCATCAAATCCCAAGGTGCCATCTCTCGGCGTTTCGAGGTCCCATTTTGGTGTCCCTCTTTTCGAATGGCCATTTTGGGGGGTGGTAAATCTCTCGCCAGGCAACATCGATGGAAACGCCCTCACGACCTGGACAAGTCTGTTTTTAACCACCGTTTGCAGTGCAAAAAAATCGTGTACCCTCCGGTAATCAAACATGGCAACTGGAAATCCACTATAAATGGAGTTTTTAATGGGAAAGTCAACTATAAATTGGTGATTTTCCATTGCCACGTTTGATTACCGGAGATTTTTTTTATTGCTAACTTTGCGAAAAAAAAAAAAACAACCCCGGATGGGTCAAAAAAAAAAACGTTACATTCATCCGAGGGGATGCTAACATCCGACAGGGTTCCTGATACGTCCTCGTTGAAAGAGGATCAACTACTATTTAGCCACCATGTTCAGTGGTTTTAGGATAAACCATGGCCTGAGTTGAACAATGGCAAACCAGAAAGTTTTTCAGTCCCGTTAAAATGTTCTTGTTGATTGGTGGTTTCAAACCCCCGAGGAAAAAAAATTGAACCAAAGCATCAGGTTCCGGAGGTTTTTTCGTTGGGAAAGTCGATATGAATTTCCAGACACAAATAAAACACAAACGGGTGATGTTCCGTTCTTTTAAGTGAATTTCACTTAAAAGCTCTAAATCAATCATCCTAAATTCTCATTGATGTTCTTGTTACACTTTTCTAGCCTTCCCTTTTTCAGTCGCGCAAAACATGGTCAATCGCATCTTCCGGTTGATCAAATCCCCAAAAAAAAACCATCTTTCAGTTGAGGAAATCCCTCAGTTCAACCAGAACAATCCTGCCCAAGGTACTGAGACGTCGGATACGCTCCAAGTCCTGGGGCCTCGGACGATGGTGAATGGTGATTCTATGGAGATTTTGAGGCTTGTTTAATGGGATGTTAGTGTTTTTTGGGGGGGATGTTACGATATTTTATGGGATGTTAGTGGGTTTTTTTAATGGGATTTTGTGATGTGTCATGGGATGTTGTGGGAATTTATGGGGTGGTTTGTGAATTTATTTGGATTTTAGGATACTTTTGGTGATTCTATTGGATTTTTGTATGGCATGTTTGGTGATTTTATGAGTTATGCGATGTTTTATGTGATTTTACAGCTGGTTTTTGATGAGACGTTTATGGATTTTATGTGATTTAAGGGATGTTTTTATGGATTTTATGGTGTGTAGATAGCTGGGATAGTAATGTTTCTGCGAGCTGAGGACCCCGTTGGAGAGCTAGCCGTTGACACGAATAACTTACGGTGAACTCAGGTTTATAGGAGATATAACACCCCTGTATTCATGGGGTTTACCAATAATAAACGATCCCCAAAAAAAATAGATGGCTGGTAAAAAAAAACTATCCCCAAATGGTAAGTTTTATTGGGTTTAATTACCACATTAATTGTCAGTGGGAACCGTTGGTCATTGTTTTAACCATCATGGGATTACTATGAAATATCTATGTTGTATCTAATGGTTCTTCGCTGGTAATAACTAACTTGCTTCAATCATGTATATTTCGTGAACCCGACTGGGAATGTTTTTCATATTGGCTAAAACTACGCTGCTAGGTTTATAATGGTTTTATCATGGTAATATAATGGTGATGTGATGGTGATGTGGTAGCAGAGCCCCAGTGGTCCTGAGGGTGAGGGGCAGACGCTAAGAGAAAGCTGCTGAGATCTGTTCCAGATCGTTACTCGCGTTGGAAAGAAAGTTTCAGCAGAGATCTAGAAGAGATCTGACCTTTCATTGGATTGGTTTAAGGGAAAATCTACAGGAAACCATGGTTTTTACCATCAAATATAGAGCTTTCCTGTAAATTTTCCCATCATCCAATTCTATGAACCTTGTGAAGATGAGTATTCCGACTTCCGACACCAATGAGTCCAAGCACTTCACCAGACACCACTCTGTGAATCCTGGAAGTGCTGTACCAGGCGCCAGCTGGGATGGTTTTTTGGAGATGGGGGACATTTGAACATTGGAACGACACAACTGTCTGTGTTTAGTATGTCGGGGCCACAGCCCACTACGTATGGACCTGGTGTGGATCCTTTGCGCCAAATGACCCCTGGGGAAACTCAACAACTCCCTGGGTGAACTTTGCAACAACTCATCTGGTACTTGGCAGAAAGCAGTGGTGTGACGTTTGCAATGCCACCTGGATTTTTAGATGGTGGCGAGAATGGTGAGAATCCTGATAAATGAGAATGGTGATTAGTGATAAGGATGATTGGTGGTTGTAACCCCGTTGAAAAAACTGCTGAGCTACTGATCTGACTATATATGTCTGTTCTTGACACATTTGAGGGAAAACTCCTGAAATAGTGTACCCAAGATTGTTCAAATCTGGATTTTGACAAAAATATAAAGAGTAGGCTGGCGAAATACTTAGAGATCTTATCCAATGAACATGAGGCTTGATCTAAGGAAATTCGGGATTCTGTCCAATCAACATGAAAATTCATCGAACAAACAGACCGAACAAATGACCTAACCAAAATGAGGGTTCCTCGGATCAACCTGCAATCATTGGTCACTGACCGAAAACATTCCAGTCAAATGCTAGCTGATCTTTTCGACCAGTTGCATCCCCTAGTTGTGAATCCAAGATGTCACGTATTCTGTCGGATACCTCCGAATGATTGCTAGGTTGCTCCCCATGATAGTTGGGTACTGTACCTCCCCATGACTGCTGTTCAATGACCCATCACCAGAGTGAAAGTGTTTCAGTTTCCCTTACTTTCTCTCTGTTTTTCTTGAGTTCTACATGTACATACATACGTGTGGTTGCATAGAAAGAGATAAAAAATGTAGAGATTCTACATATACTATAGATATACAAAGAGAGATAGAGATATATGGACAATTATGGACATATATAAAAGATGTACAGACATATATATATATACATAGACATATAAAGAAATATATAGAAATATATATATATATATAATGTATCAAATATATATATATATATGTGGAGGTATCTATATATATATATGTATATATATATATATTGTGAGTAGATAAAACTTCCCCACACTGGCAACGGGCCTCCTCCTCCAGTTCCTCAACCAGATCACTGTCGGACTCTTTTCCCAAAACAGGCAAGAGTCCCTCGTCACACACGGAGGCCAGCAAATCCTTAAATGAAATGGCTGTTTCTCCACGCACCAATGTTTTGGACCCCTGGTCCTTGCAGTTGCAAAAGAGTGGCCACACTCGCCAATTGCTCAAACACTGATACCTAAGGATATCCACCCACTTCCTCCCGCTAGGGTTCGCCTGAACCAAAGGTGCTACAACAGGGTTGTCTGGTTACCTGCAGGTGCATGGTGGTAAACATCGATCTGATTGGAATGCAATGACACGGATTCACATTCCCGAAAAATCAAAACTTTCGAGAAAACATGTGTCATTGCAAGTGCTGGAACTTCGATCCTGAGTCTCACCGCGCAGCCATCGCAGTCGGTTTCGTGCCGAAGCCCGACTCTTAAGGACTTCGAGTTCGTCATGTAATTTGTAATGTCCCAGTTTCAAGGTTTCTCTCAAGAAGCTATTTTCCATGACTTTGGTCAAGGCATCCGCTAGCTGAGCCCCTGAGTGCACCCATCGCAAGGAAACATGTTCATTCAATAAGTCCTTAATTGCCCTGGCTGTCAGCTGAGTGCGAAACTCCGCACAGTTGGGCATTGCCGTTCGACTCACTAGATCGAAAAGAGATTTACAGTCTGTTGCAGCAAAGGTTTCTGGGAGCTGTCTGGCATTCAGAGTGGCAGTGGTGTATGTCTCTGGAAGTTGTTTCAACGTTTGATGTGGGGATTTCCATTTGGTATTGGGATTAAGAATCCAAGCCCAACATAACCGGATCCATGAAAGGTGGTCAAGAACCGAATTGAGTGACGTGGTCTCTGCAGCTAAGGTACTTGTTACTACCCTTTGAATCTTTTTACAGCCCCATGATATGGCATTCACTGGACAGGTGACATTTCTCGCAATATCCTTATGGGTGGCCATAATTAGGGTTCCAGTATGGGAGTTGGGATTGCTCTTCGAAGCAAATGATGCATCGGAAAACGCAAGGAATCTTAGGTCATCGGTGTGAATCGACTGAATTTTGATTGTGACATCATGATGCTTTTTGGCTTCGTGAAGTGCTTGGTTGGCCGTTATCAGGTTCTCCACGGTGGCATTGTTAATTGAGGATTGTAAGTTGCTGAGTCGACTCGACAAGTCGGGCCTGGTGTGGACTGATGCGTATTGTAAGCTGCCAATTAAGGCACGGAGTTGTTGTCTCTCATCTTCCGTCACCTTCTCATCAGGTTGTTTGCGTCGATCAGTGGAAATTTTAATGGGGTCAATGGTTCTGACGTATTTGGATTGTGATAAATGAATTGTTCCATCTGATGATTGTTGTATGCCAATGCCTGTGAAAGTGAAGTTGTTAACGCGTTTGCTCACAAAAGGATATTTCTTTTCCAAAAGTTCAAGTTTGTGAAGGAACTGCTGATTTCCTGCACACAGCCCGTCGTCCACATGGAGTCCCAAGATTCCATCAGGCATCAGAGTCTCACGGTTTCGCAAGACAAACAGGCATGGATCAAACGGTGATTGTTCAAAGCCTAAGGTCACTAGTTCTTCCAGGATCGCTTGGTACCACATGAACGGTGCATCCACCAAGCCATAGGCTCCTTTCTCCAGTTTGCAAATTTCTTGAGGGGACAATTTCATCATCTGTATTATTTCAGGCACTGGTTCTATAGCAAGGACCCTATCCTTTTGGTTTTTCCCTTGTAGAAACGCAGCCTTAATATCAAATGATCGGAGTGTCCACTTCATAGAAGAAACAAATTGGAGGAGTAACATTTTTGAATGTCTACCCAGTGTTGGTGAATCTCGGGTTACTTCATCTAGTTTGGGGTCTAGGTATCCAAGAATTACCAGTCTAGCTTTGGCCTTGTAGTTTTTGGTACCTTTCATCTGTTCCTTCTCAACATCATCAATTGACTTCCATGTTAGAATCCATCGGCATCTGAGGATTTGGTCTTTAGGGACCTGATCTCTGAGGATACGGGATATGGTACCAGTTCGCAACCAATTTTGAACTTCTTGGGTTTTTGCCTTTTGGAATTCTGCCTTTTCTTCGGGTGTTAATTGTGTCAATTTCACTTCTGCCCTTTGACGTTTTGCAGCTGAAGCGATGAAAGCGCATTCCATGGGATTCTCTTCCTGTCTCCATTGATGGATTTCATGGTCTGTCACATAGATCTCGCATTGCCAGGCTTGGTCGGACTGCAGTTCCAAGGATTCGGGTTCCATGTCATGGCAATGCAGTGCGTCGCATACTAGGTCATCGTCGGCTCCGTCAGCACCATCAGGGATTGGTGTATTTTGAGCTGTGAATTCCCTAGCCATATCCCTGGTAGGATCTAGTACATTTTCGGGGTTTGGTGGTATCCCATGACTCCCTGATGGAGTGGAGTTACTCCCTGTTGCCCCAGGTTCAGCATCGGGCTGATTTTCTGAGTGGCTATCTTGGGATGATGGATTATTCATTTCAGGGTTATTTTGTGGAGGGTTATTGTTAGGATTATGGGCTGTGGCAGGTATAGGTGGTGGGTCGGCAGCTGGAAGTTGTACATCTTGATATGGTATGGTTCTGTTGGTAGTCTGATTGGTCCTGTTTTGGGGTAACTGCTGAGCAATCTGTGAGACTGATGGTTCATTCGGGAGAATGACGATGTTCCTGGCTTCCATTGCTGACACTGGCCTCACATGTTCTGGAGCGGCTCTATACAGCTTACTTGTCATGGATGTCCATATTGTTTGGGGGTT